CGGATATTCGGCTGTCTTTTCAATAATAAATTCTGCTGAAAGAGCTATGCCTACTTCGCTGACAATAAACACATAAGAGGAATATGTGTTCAATGCAGCATTATGAGAGAGAAAAACTTGAAGTGAAGTAAACAGAAAGTTGCACAATTTTGACTGTTGCGTAAGAATGAGCATGGACTTCCAAAGCGTGAATCCGTTAAACATTCGACTCAACATGCTTTCGGGTAATCTGTTACCGATGAATGAACATGACACATCATTTTCGTTATTCTGGAACATATATAGTGCCTTTGTATGGATGACTCAACTAATCATAACAATCGCGATAATACCTGGATGCATCTATGTGCCGATAGAAAAGACTCTAAAAGACGGCATAATCTGCTTTATAATTTTCATAGAAATATGTTTTCTAGTAATACAGTTGCACGTTTCCAAGAATTTATTACGTCAATTGATTGAGAAGCTAAATAATATTTTGTACGTTGCCGATGAAATAATGAAGAGCGTCGTGATAACGACTTTGAAGCCGGTACAGACTCCACTCAATTTCTATCTGTCTGGCGCGCTGGCGGTAATAATTTGGACTTGTATGCCATTCTCATTGATATTCAAAAAGGATCTTTTCCACTATGAGGATTACAGAATTCCTGCTGCTTTCTCCAGACAACCGTTTTCATTAAGTATTTTTTTGCTGGGAAGCTTCTTTTTAATGATCAGCGCTACTTATATGTTTTTAAAAAAAGCCAGTGTGGACGTGTACATGATACATATGATATTGATGACCACGGCTCAGTATCGATATATTGCGATAAAATATGCGATAATATTTCAAGGAGAAAATGGAGACAGTGAACAAACATATTCGGCTGAAGTTGAGCAAAGGAAAGAGAAAGAGATAAGAGCGTTGTGTCGGCATCACAACGCTCTAATTGAGTAAGTATCTCAAATTTTTTATTTCTTAGTTATTTTGTGGCTATATATTGTGACTACTCAATGTTTAACTAATTAGTGTTTATCCAAAAAAATTATTAAGTTAAAATATTTCAAGTTCTTGTTCTGTAACATGTGTAAAACATGTGTATAATTTTTTAATATAATTTTTATTGCATTATTTTATAAATATTTTAGAAATATGTTTTTTTACAGTATAACTTCATTGTTGAAACGAATACTATCGTTAAATTTAAGTCTAATATACATAAACAGCTTTTTTCGTTTCTGCTGTATGGGTATCGCGTTCAGTACTGTAAGTAGCAATTGTTAATAATTTTTTCAATATTGTGTTTTAATTTTTGTCTGGAAATTATTTTTGTATTCACATAGCACGAAACTCATTGTGCTTCTGTATTATGACAAATAATTATTGATTATAATATTATTGATCTTTACGTACGTTTTAAATAAATACGTTTTAAATTACAAAATTTTAAATTTTAGATACCTTCGGTAACATATTTGGAAGGAATTTTAATTATTATGTTTGTGTGGGGGGCAGTAGTGCAATTCTATATTTTGTGCTTCTGTGTGCAGCAATTACTAGATGCGGTAAGCTTTATTACAATATAATTTATTTTTGTTATTTCCTGTTTTACTTCATTTCTTTTTAATTTATTTGTTATAAAATCTAAAAATGTTTAAATCACTACGAGATTGATCTTTGATGTACATATGATATTCCTAATACACTGTCATAACTTATTTTTTTTCTTTGGTAAAAATAACAATAACGTAAATTAACTTAAAAATAGTTAATTAACGGCTAGTATAAATAATCTTATCAGTATATTAATCAGTTAAAAAAATTACTACAAAGTATATATGTGATTATTTATAATGTAAAATTATTCTAACAGAATAATTAGTATTAATTTTATACGAAAAAATGTTTGCTTTTATGAATTTTTCTAATAATACTCTTAAATTATGAATACATGTTTTTCTTGTATGAAATTTAGAGCACGGAAATAACAGATAAGGCATTTCATGAGCAATGGTATCGGCAAACATCATCGATAAAACATATTTTTATGTTAATAATCATGGCTAATAATTTAGAATGCAAACTTGCAAAGTTGAAAAATTGTAATCTTTCTTTACCTTCATTCACAACGGTAATATTTTTCATATTACTCATGCATAATGTTTGTAACATTATTGTGTATTATTAATGTCATTTTTCAATTTTTCTAGATTTTAAATCAATCGTATTCGATCGCCGTTTTGCTTTTAAGAATGAAATAAAAATCGAATTTTGTTCAAGTATCAAATAATAATTTCATAAAAATCTATATATGTATCAATAATGATAGCGCTATGTATGTGTAAAAACTATAAAAATGGTAATACTAATCACCAAAATGTACAACGTAAATAAAATTATTTATTGACATTAATTATAATTTATATATTTACTTTATTAAATTATTGTTTATTCTAAAATAAAACTATATTAAATGTTTAATATATATTATAATTAATTAAAAATTTAGAATGTTATCTGTACAATATATACATGTTTAAATACAACGTCAAAAGAAATAAACATTTGTATTAGTAATATACAATTTAAATTTATTACTTTTTATGTTTGCGTTAAATAACTTAAGTTATATTTAAATTTGTCTTTTTCAAATATTTTTATAAATATGAGTCATCATATTATTGAGATAAATAATTAAATAAATCAACAATTAATAAATATTAATAAATACAGAATGTGTTGTTAAAAAAGAAAAAAACTCACCTCAAAAGTCTTCGTTATGCACATCTTAATATCTAAATATGTAGATCGTGCCGAAAGCTGCTGTTCTAATTTATCGCACAAAGTGTAATTTTCCATTGATAGTTCGTGCAACGGATAACGCTAGATACTGCAACGTTCTCTAGATTCCGTGATACTGCAACGATTAACGGTACGACATAATATAATGTCTATGTAGTTTAATGCCAATAACAAAATACATAATAAAAATAGCAAATTATATTGGACCATACGGCGGCATGTAAAAATAATATCTAATCTAATGATTAACTAATTAAAAACTTGGTATAGAATAAAAATAATTAGATCGTTATAAAATCACAAAAAATCTAGTTTATCAAAAATATTGTATTTAAATTTTATTTGCATAAGCATTTTTTTGCATCTAATAGTCCCAAAAATTTTTCAGGCAAACTCAAAATACTGTTCTTAGTTATAAAAGGAATTTATTATTAACAAAATTATGTGGTAACAAGAATACATTTTTTAACAGATAGAAAAATTATTTTAATAAATAATAAAGAAAGATACATCATCAATAATAAGATAAGCTCCGAAATACTTACAGAATAAGGTCAGCATATCAAATTAGTATGTCATAGACCTCTCAGTTCGACCTCTCTTTCCTCGATGATGTGCGTGCGACGTACTGTCAAACACTGTGGTTTCTTTTGCGCCCTACGGCGCTGCATCGGTCAATGAGACATAATAATCATTCAGAAGTCCAAATTACAGAGAAGACTAGAATTGTATTCATTCCTGTGCTGTACGAAATAAATAAGAAGAATCAGAATGCCATCAAAATGATATCGTGATATTTATTCATATACTTCTTCATTTCTTTACACTAGTAGTACAACAAAAGTTTATTTCAAATATCATGAACGGAAAAAGTCGCTATATTGCATTATTTATAAATAATCTATCGTGCAGTAATAATCATGGAACAATCGACAAATGCATGAAGAGAACAGTACAACGGCTCTGTCATTGGTAGCAATATGATAGTATAATTTATTAATGAATAAAAGAGAAAGGATAAATTCAAAGAAAGTATTATCATTTTATTATTCATGAACAACTTTTGCAAATAGTTGTCAGTCATACATTCTTCCAAACAAAGAAAAGCATGCATGGTGATAGAAACGTAAAACAGAGGTGAATATAGATGTAAAAGTTGATATTCCCTCTCTTATTTTTGTTATTAAGACTTTGTCCCGTAAAGAGTATGCATATAGCAGTAGTTTACAAAATTTTTGTATTAAAACGATATTGCTTAAAATAAATAATTGTAAATCAGAACTAATTAAGCCGAGACTTTAGCAGAACTGATTGTATCAATAAAATAGTTGCAGATGAAGTAAAGAAAATATAAATAAAGTTTTTTATAGATAGTTAATTTTTTTATTAAACGAATATCATAAAATTCACATATTTGACATCATTTTTGCCACGCAATTTTTCTATTTCAATTATTAAAATTTTACACACGGAATTTCATAAAATATTTTTTTATATTTGAAAAGCTAAACCATGGATTTTCAAAGTGTAAATCCTATAAATATTCGGCTAAACTTGATCTCGGGCAATCTATTGCCGATGACTGCTGACGACTCATCATATCCTACATTTTGGAAGATATATAGCGCTCTAGTGTGGTTGCTCGAATTAGTTCAAACGTGCGTGCTAATTCCAGGATGTATAATGACTCCAAAAGACAAGGCTCTAAAAGATGGTTTGATCGGCATTGTAGTCACCATTGAAGTGCTTTCGTTCTTCATTCGAATTTACATGCGTAAGGAACTGGTGCTAAAATTGATTCGAAAACTAGACGATATTCTGCACATACAAGACGAAATGATGAAAAGCATTGTAATGGCAACCTTGCAGCCGATGGACATTCCTTTAAAATTCTATTGGACGGCCGGCGTGATGTCAATATTTTTATGGGGTATAGGACCCTTTCCATTGATATTTGAGAAAAATACTTTTTTCTACGTAGAGTACAGAATGCCGGTTGTTTATTCTAAAGAGCCAATCTCGACCAGTGTTTTTGTGTTGGGAAATGTTATCGTGATGCTTAGTAGCATGTATATTTTTACAAAAAAAGTCGGCGTAGACAGTTACATGATACATATGATACTGTTAATAACAGCACAGTATAGATACATCGCATTGAAGCTTTCGATGATATTTCAAGATTTTAAAATTTTGGAAAATAATCAAAACAATTTTAATGAAAAAGAATATTATAACGAAACAAATTATAAAGCAGAGAAAAAGATCAAATCTTTATGTCGGCATTTTAACGCGGTCATAAAGTAAGTTAATTTGTTGAAAATTGTTGAAATACAAATGTTATTTTTCCAAGGCATTTGATTAAAAATGCATTTTGTTGTAATGTTAGAATTAATAAAAATAAAATCAATATAATTAACGTGATCGAGAAATCAATTACAACTTAAATTTAAAGTTATAAAAATGTAAAATTGAAATACTTAATTACATTTGTTACAACAAAAAAAATTTTGTTTGAAGTTAACATCTAATGTAATGTTAATTGTTATTTTAACAGAATGTTCTATAAATTATATTTTGCGTTCTTTATTTTAGCATATCATTAATGCTTAGAGAACTATTATCAGTAAACCTCAGTATAATATATGTGAATAGTATTTTTCGCTTTTGCTGTATCTTTATTATGCTAATTTCAGTAAGTAATAATTTCTAATATTTGTTATTTTAGTTTACTGAACAATCTAAATTTACAAAATAAATATATGTTTCGATAAAATTTTAGATACCTGCAGTGTCGTGGTTGGACAGAATTGTAACCATCATGTACGCATCAGGTGGAGTAGTGCAGCTTTTCATATTGACATCTTGTGTGCAACAATTATTGGATGCAGTAAGTTTAGTTTTAATATGTATATTTTTATTTTTTAATAAAACAGCATTATATAAAATTTTTTAATTGTAAAAAATTTTTGCTTTTAACGAAATATTTAGTCTTTAAAAAAAAATTACATAAGATTTTATAAAATAAATATAAATCTGTTATAATTTTATAGAAGTCATTATATAATGACTATATAAATTTTTAATTGCTTGCATTAAATTGCAAAATATTTATTATTAATAAAAATTTACTATTATGATAATAATAATATTTTGTATCTAATTTAGAGTGTTGAGATAACGGATCAAGCGTTTCACGAGGAATGGTATCGATATGGTACTTCCATAAAAAGTACATTTATGTTTATGATAATGGTTAATAATATGGGACTTAAAATTTCAAAATTTGAAAAATACAGTATGTCTCGCACCTCGTTTATGACGGTGAGTTAATATACATACATTCTATTATTTCTATTATTTATATCGTTCTATTGTTCATGTATCTATAATATTATTAACATTTTTTTAAAATTACTCGAAATTTTGAGCAATATTTTAGATCTTAAATCAATCATATTCTATCGCATTATTACTATTCACTTGAAAGCGATATAAGGACGTTGCAACTATTATTTTATGTGCAGTATGTATATACTTTTTAGTATTTCAATAAATTTTTTAAATAAATACTTAAAAATGTGTTTTATTTTTCTAAAGATCGTATCTTTTGTTTCAGTAAGAAGAATATTAAGTAGTATAAGATTTTGAATTTGGTGTTTAAATTAAAATGTAATACAATGCAGATATTGTTGTAATACATTGAGGAAAATAAAGATTTCGTCTGTTTATAGTAACGTAAATTTGAACTTTATAATATTATATATTTTTATAATTTTTTTTGTATTTTAAATAGCAGCTATAAAATTGGAATAAAACAATTATCTTTACCGACAGTAAAATTATTAAATTTATTTATGTAATAATTTGTTACGTTCTCTCCTGAATAATTTTTGTGTATGAGGCTTAGATGGCCGCAATAAACGATTCTTCTGCAGATCAATAATTAAGGTTGATCTTGCAAGTGTTGAACGGTTTGATTGTCAAATATTGAGTTAACCATTAGAAGGGTCGATGTTACATCGTTTGAAACTATTCATCGATTCTTTTTTTAATTTCGGAAATTAATCTTTATTACTGGGGACCGAACTTTGTATGATTTTAGGAGAAAAAAGTTAGAAAGAAAGCAAAATTTTAAAATTAAAGTATTTTTAGTACTAAGAATACGCTGTAAACAGACAGAAAAATTTATCTTATAAATAATAATGTGGGAGGAACAATTTGTTACATAGCGCATGATTGATAAGGCTCCGAAATACTTACAGAATAAGGTCAGCATGTCAAGTTAGTATGTCACGTCTTAATTTTCATCGATGATGTGTGTGCGAAGTACTGTCAGATACTGCGGTTTTCTTGTGCTTTAGGGCGCTGTATCAGTCAATAAGACATAAGATAATAATCATTTGAAAGTCTAAATTACAGAAGATAGCACAATTGTATTAATTTCTACGTTCTACGAAATGAATAAGATGCTTCAGAAAATCATCAAACGGATAACACGATGTTTATTTATACTTCTTCATTTCTACACTAATAGTATAACAAAAGTCCTTTAATTATCATGTACGTAGGAAGTGGCGACATTAAATTGTTCATAAATGCTGTCTCGTGTAGTAGTGTTGATTATAGAACGTGCGATCAATGTATGAGAAGAACAATACGACAGCTGTCGTTGGTAGCCATATGACAGCATAATTTATTAATGAATAAGAGGGAGATGTATAAATTCAAAGAGAGTAATGACCTCCCCCCCTCAGGATCTATAAGAAACTTTTGATACTGACAAATGTCTGTTATATATTTTGCAAACACAAAAGAGCATGTATGATGAAAGCGTAAAATAGAGGTAAACATAAACGTAAAAGTTAATATATTATTCTCTTATTTTTGTTATTAAAAGTTTGTTTGACGCGTGTGCATATAGCAGAAGTTTGCAGAACTTTTTGCATTAGAAAAATATTTGCTTGACATAAAAAATTATTCATGAAATTTAAATAAGCTTGGATTTTTACCAGTACTGTGATTGCGAATTAATAAAATAATAATCGCGAATATAATACTAAAAATATAAATCAAGTTTTATAGGTAGACATCTTTTTTTGTTATATGCAAATTATAAAAGTAACTTACATATTTAACATTGTTTTTACTACAAAATTTTTTTATTCCAATTGTTTAAATTTTACATGCTTTATTTCGCAGAATATTTTTTTTACTCAAAGAGCTAAACCATGGATTTTCAAAGTGTAAATCCCATAAATATTCGGCTAAATTTGATCTCGGGCAATCTATTACCAATGACTGCTGACGACTCGTCATATCCTATATTTTGGAAGATATATAGCGCTTTGGTGTGGTTGCTCGAATTACTTCAAACGTGCGTACTAATTCCCGGGTGTATATTTGCGCCAAAAGAAAAGATTCTGAAGGATGGTTTAATCGGCATTGTAGTCACCATTGAAGTAATTTCGTTCATTATACGAATTTACATGCGTAAGGAACTGGTGCAAAAATTGATCCAAAAACTAGACGGTATCCTGCACATGCAGGACGAAATGATGAAAGGCATTGTAACGACAACTTTGAAATCGATGGAGATTCCTTTTAAATTTTACTGGACGGCCGGCATGATATCAATATTCGTGTGGGGCATAGGACCGTTTCCATTAGTCTTTCAGAAAAATTTTTTTTATTACGTGGATCACAGGATGCCAGTTGTTTATGCTAAAGAGCCAGTCTCCACCAGTGTTTTTGTATTGGGAAATGTTGTCGTGATGTTTAGTAGCATGTACATTTTTACAAAAAAAGTTGGCATAGACAGTTACATGATACACATGATACTGCTAATAACGGCGCAGTACAAATATATCGCGTCGAAACTTTCAATGATATTTCGAGATGAAATTTCGAAAAATGATCAAAACAATTTTAATACAAAAGGATATTATTATGAAATGAATTATAGAGCAGAAAAAGAGATTAAATCTTTATGTCGGCATTTTAACAAAGTCGTAAAGTAAGCTAACTTGTTCAAAATAGTTGAAATAAAAAAGTTGCTTTTTTAAGGCATTTAATTTAATATGCATTTTGTTAGAGTTAATAAAAATAAAATCACAATATAATTAATATAATCAAAGAATTAATTACAATTAAAAATTAAAGTTATAGAAAAGTAAGATTAAAATACACTTTATTACAATTTTTGCAACAACAAAAATTCGGTGCTAAGTTAAGTCTAAAGTAATGTTAATTAATGTTTTATAGAATGTTCTATAATTACATTTTGCGCCTTTTATTTTAGCATATCAATAATGCTAAGAGAACTGTTATCTGTAAACCTCAGTATAATATATGTAAATAGTGTTTTTCGCTTCTGCTGTATTTTTATCATGATGATTTCAGTGAGTAATAATTCTAATATTAGTTATTCTAAATGATTTGCTAAAAATAACCTAAACGTATAATGCAATTTTATTGTATAGTAAATTTTATAATTAGCTATGTATTTTAATAAACTTTTAGATACCTGCATCGACATGGTTAGACAGATTTGTGGCCGTAACGTACGGATCGGGCGGAGTAGTGCAACTCTATATATTGACTTCTTGTGTGCAATAATTATTGGATGCAATAAGTTTTGATATAATAAAATATATATATTTTTATTTTATAATTAAACTTTGTGATAATTTTATAAAAGTTATCACAAAGTACATACAAAAATGTATGACCGTTTTATAGAATTATATTATTTGTTAATAAGAAAATATTCTGATAAAAACTGAATACATTTTTATAAAATAAAAATCATAATTATTGCTTGCAAAAGAAGATAAAATTGTTACATATTTATGAATAATAAAAATAAGCTATCAATATATTAATATTGGGTTTTTGTATTTAATTTAGAGTGTTGAAATAACAGATCAAGCATTTCACGAGGAATGGTATCGATATGGTACTTCCATCAAAAGTACATTCATGTTTATGATAATGGTTAATAATATGGGGCTTAAAATTTCAAAATTTGAAAAATGCAGTATGTCTCGGACTTCGTTTATGACGGTGAGTTTATACACACACATTCTATTGTTCACGTAATATTATTAATATTTTTGAAAAATTACTCAAAATTTTGCGTAATATTTTAGATCTTAAATCAATCATATTCTATCGCATTACTGCTATTCACTTGAAAAGCGACATCAGAACATTGCAGCTATTATTTTATGTGCAGTATGTATATAGTTTTTAGTATTTGAACAAATTATTTAAGTAAATATCTGTCAATGCATTTTATTTTTTTTTTTTAATTATAACTTTTATTGTAGTAAGCAGTATTAAATAGTGCAAGATATTGAATTTTGTGTTTAATTTAAACATAATGCAACATGCAGATATTGTTGTGATAAATGATTGAGAAAAATAAAGATGTTAACTATTTATAGTAACGTAAATGTAAAATTTATAATTTAATATATTTTTATAAATTATATCTTAAATAGCAGCTATAAATTTTGAATAACAATTATTTTTAAGGGCAGTAGAAATCGTAAATTTATTTCTCGAATAATTTTAAAACTTTATTATGAACAAAATTTCAAATAGTAATCAAATTAACAACTTACATTGAGCACTTGTTTGGGATGCATAAAAATTAGATCTACAGATGTTCCATAGATTATTTTGGGAAAACTTAGAATACCAAATTTCTCCTTCATATTGCTTGCGATAGGCAGCAACAGGTTTTGCGTATCTTATAAAGGTTTTGAGGTTCTGTGACAACTAAAATATGCTATAAGATAATTGCCACTTCATATAGCACAGGGATAATTACAAGTTATAGTTGTGTTGATCCCTGCAGTAAATGCATTGAAAATTTCAATAAACCATCCTCCATCACGACGTTTATTCGCGGAGTCTTTTATGTGTCCCTACAATAGTATACAATGTCATTCAGACTTATCAAATATACAGAAAGTAGCGATATTATTGTTGATAACTCATCTGCGATGCATTCAAGTAACAATTATAGAGCAAATGTCGGCAATTACGATGAAGAAAGCGTATTTTTGCTTTGTATAAATTGTCACATGACAGTGCATAATATATTCATAAAAGGCAGGAAGAACTGCAGGTGGATACTAAATTGTTCAACATATAGCTGCAATTTTCAAATACTGATAAAAATGCCATACAAGTTGATCTGAACGTACACGTGCATTGGTAGAAATGTAAAATGGAGGTAAGTGCGTATACAATGTTCCGTACATTTGCTTTAATATACACAAAAAAGAATTATTTATTCTGACGACAGTTAAGCATCTGTTTATTTTTATTGTTTGTGAAAAACGATAACTTTAGAAAAAAAATTACCTAAATCAAGCTTGTTGACGATTTCAAATATTAATAGAATTAATTGCTATTAAAAATATATTATTAAAATTATAAAAATATTCTACTAAAATCACATGTGTGTGCACGTGTTTAAATTATCTTTGGTGACAAAAAAATGAAACAAATCGATCAAAGTCTCAATTATTATGTCTTCTTTGTGACAGAGTAATTCTTATCATAAAGACAATTCCGAGTTTATGGACTTCGAGAGCATGAATCCTTTAAATCTCTGGTTAAACTTACTCTCCGGCAATCTATTACCGATAAATTCCGGCGAATCATCGTATCCGATATACTGGAAAATATACTGTGTCTCTGTATGGTTGCTGGAATTGGTTCACACAGCCACATTGATCAGTGGTTGTTTCTTTGTACCGATAGAAAAGGTCCTCAATGATGGTTTAATCAGCTTAGCAGTCATCGCAGAAATATTCTTTATGGTTACGCGAATTTATATGCAAAGAGAACTTGTAGTACAGTTGATACGACAATTGAATGATATTTTACGCGTTAAGGATGAGACTATGATTAATATCGTGAAGGCAAATGTGAAACCAATGGAGGTTCCACTTAAATGTTACTTGGCGATAGGCAGTCTGTCTGCCTTCATCTGGTGCTCTCTTTCACTCCCACTGGTCTTCGAAAAGAGTACTTTTTACTATATCGATTACAAAATGCCGGTCACCTATTCTAAAGAACCATTCTCCGTCAACATGTTTTTACTGGGTACTGCGATGATACTGCTTGGCAACACATACATTTTTCTAAAGAAAGTCGCCGTGGATGTTTATACGATATATCTGGTGTCGTTGATAACATCACAGTATCAATATATCGCATTGAAGCTTGAATCAATATTTCAAGTCCGTAATGTGCAAAATAATTGCGGCGATTTGCCAGAAAATTATAATTCCAAAACAGATTTTATTGTGGAACAGAAAATTAAACTTTTATGTCGGCAACATAATTCTGTCATACAGTAAGTACACTTTTTAATATTTTGTAATAAAATTATAAATTACTTTGATCAATTTTATTTTTAAATACAACTTAAAATAAATTATTTTTAACTTACAAGTAATGTAATAAACTTCTATAATAGTTTCAATTTAATGCCTTGTTTTTCATATAATATTACGGACACAGATTATGTGCTTTGTTTCAGCATAACGTTAATGCTAAAGAAATTGTTGTCTCTAAATTTTTCTTTGATATACGTGAATAGCGTTTTTCGATTTTGCTTTATTGGTATCATGTTGACTAAAGTAAGTCATGGTTTTTTTTGTGTATCAATTATTTCAAAGATACTTTCTAAACTGTATTGATACAATAAGTATGCAATACTATTAAATATTATCGCAAATTACAGTCAATTATAATTATAATATAGCAGTGATATGTCATCGTGAAACTTTAGATATCCGCGTCTTTGCTCGAAGGATCTATGGTCATCTTATACGGATCTGGTGCAATAGTGCAATTCTATATATTGTGTTCTTCCGTCCAAAAATTATTGGAAGCGGTAAGTCTTGTAATATAAATTTGCTTTTATATCCTATTTTATCTCTCCTCTGATTAAATACAAAAACTTATTATTCATTTTTAAATTGCTGAAAATCTTATTTCTTGAATATTATATTTGTATCCATAATCAAATAAATTCGCTATTAATTTTTATAACTACATTCAATTTTCAAAAGTATTGTGTTTTATTAAATTAAATTTTAAATACTAAACATTTAATATTCTGAATAAAAAAATTAATTTAAGAACTTGTGATTAAGAATTATATCGTGCATTTTCTCGATCGAGTTTAGAGTACAGAAATAACAGACAAAGCGTTTCACAAAGATTGGAATCAATTTGGAATATCTGTAAAACGCACATTTATGTTGGTAATGATGGCTAGTAATAATTTAGAAATTAAACTTTCAACGTTTGCAAGATTCAGTTTGTCTCTGCCCTCATTCATGACAGTAAGAGAGATGTTTATTTCTTTTCGATTATTAGTATAACTTATTGACAGCATTTACAAACAATTTTATATAATTAAATATCTTTTTTAGGTTTTAAATCAAGCTTACTCCATCGCCCTTTTACTTTTAAGAGTAAAATGACAAATAACAAAGGCGATGTTGCTTATGTTTTACTAATACATTTTTAATATTAAACATAATCGAATTTTGTAGTCAAATCAAAATGTTAATAGTGGTAGTACGATATGTAGTACAGATGTACAGTTGTACAATAGTAATACAATATGTAGTAGTATAGATTTTGCTGCGATAGAAAGAAAGCAAATAAAAAATTCTAATTCTTGTTAAAAATACGGATTGTAAAGTTTATAATTTAAAAAAATACGTGCCAAGTCTTATGACTCTAAATCTACATGAGTAAAAAAAATTATAAAGTGAGAAGTAAAAATTATCAGGCAGTATGAGGAATTAATTCAGGGAATGACTGCCTCAATCTAGAGTGAGTCTCTCAATTACAACATTTATGGATTATACAATTTTGCTCAATAAAGACTCTTACCTTTATTTAAAAATGTCTTGTTCTCTGGCACTGTCGCGCGTATATTTTCCTTGGGTGTCAGTTAAGCCTGATCTAAATGTTGACCAAAAAGATTGTTTATGCTTCACTTTTCCTAGAATCCGTTGCAAAGCTAATTGAAGCGGTTATTCGCAAGTAAGTTCCTTTAGTGTCCATTGTATTTTACAGAGTTAGCCACAATTAATGAAGCGTTTCTCGAAGAGTCGTTGGAATCGATTTACATTATCTGTAAAATATACATTTATGTCAGTGAAGTGGCTAATAATATTTGAAAGATTAAACTTGCAATGTTTGAGAAATGTAATTCGAAAATTTATTTATCGCTTGTCTTGTGAATGCGTATAAACCCATTTCCAAATTGTGTATATTAATATGTTAATGTATCCAGCGAATGAGTCTATTGCAGATATATATGGTGATTTTATATGGATGATACGTGTATCAAGTACAATGAAATACTGCGGCTCCTGCGGCAGTCCTGGCTTCGCAAGAGTATAATAATAATGATATACTATAAGATAATGTCACTACAAAGACGCTACAAAGAAATGTTAGTTGCAAAGAATTTTACAATTGCATTTATTGCTATGCTAAATAAAACGAAGCGGACGCTTCAAGAAACCGTCACTTTTGATGTCTAATATACTAATAGTAACAAAAGTCTTTCTAGATTAACATGTATGACAATAATGTATTGTTGATGAATAATCTCTCGTATAGTAGAATGATTATAGAACAAGCGCTGACTACAAAAGAGAGCCAAATGTCTTCGAAAAAATATGAATAATTTATTAATAATCCGGATGGCGCAAAGACTTGCGTGACGATAGAAATAGAAGTAAATTTACATGTAAAAGTTCGTACATTTCTCTAACAGTATATAGCAACCCTGTGAAGCATATACGTTTTTCGCAATGGTAGCTAAAACAATTGTGCTTTTGAAAAACATTTATTTAGAAATATTATTAATTAAAGTAAATTATACTGAGATTTTTTATAAGTAACACTGAGTTATTGATATTATAAACAAACTTATTGAAATAATAAATGTTAATTTTTAACACTGATCAAAATTCACATAATAATTTTTACGTGTTGAAAATATTTACATATTGCGGTGTAGTTTCGTCGAATTTCATTGCTTGATTCTTTCGTCTTCATGTTATTCAATTTTCTGTATTTCACATAGCATTTCTTATTTATTATAGACGAGCGGCAGCATGGATTTTCAAAGTGTAAATCCCCTCAATGTTTGGCTGAACATAATCTCCGGCAATCTCTTACCGATGTCTACTGATAATTCGTCTTTTCCTGTATTCTTGAAGATATATAGCGTTTTAGTGTGGTTCCTCGAAGTAGTTCAAACGTGCGTGCTAATTCCCGGATGCTTTCTGGTACCTAAAGAGAAAGCTTTGAAGGACGGATTGGTCGCCCTCGTGGTCACTGTTGAGGTGGTCTTCATGGTCGTACGAATTTATTCGCGTAGGAGTCTAGTGCAAGAATTGATCCGCAAATTCAATGACATTCTGCGCATGGAAGACGAGATGATGAAAAAAATTGTAATAGCAACCCTGAAGACCACGGAGATTCCTATTAAGTTCTACTGGACGGCTGGCGTGATGTCCATAGTAATGTGGAGTGGCACACCGCTTGCTTTGATTTTTCATAGGAATTTTTTCTTCTACGTAGATTATAGGATGCCGGTGGCCTTCTCTAAAGAGCCGGTCACAACCACTGTCTTCGTGATCGGAAGTTTTATCATAATGATAAGCAGCATGTACATTTTTACAAAGAAAGTTAGCGTGGATAGCTACATGATGCATATGATATTGCTGATAACCGCGCAATATAAATATATTGCGTTGAAGCTGTCGATGATATTTAAAGATGGACTCTTGCAGAGTGATCGCAATAGTTCTAATGAAAAAGAATATTATTTAGAAAAAGATAACGACGCGGAAGAAAAGATTAAAAATATATGTCGGCATCATAACACGATTGTTCGGTGAGCTATTTTAGTAGAAATTTTTGAAAAAAGGAATAATAGTTTGAAACTTTTTGACTTGCAATAAAATGTAAATAGATTTATTCTATATTTAAATTAATTATTACTTTATTTTTAATCTAAAATTACATGTTATACGCTTTGTTTTAGGATAACATTGATGCTAAGTGATTTGTTGTCCTTAAATTTTAGTCTAATATACGTGAACAGCGTTTTGCGAGTTTGCGGCATTGCTATCATGGTGTTTGCAGTAAGTAACATAGTGATTTATTTTAGAAATGTTTGCGAGATGACTTAAAGTTAATAAATATCTATCAAATACCACGTATTATTATCATTTATTTCACGCATTTGCATGACATTTTAGATACCATCAACAACTCCGTTGGAAGGATCCTTGATCCTCATGTACGCATCGGGTGGAATATTGCAGCTTTACATATTGTGCTCTTGTGTACAACAGTTATTAGATGCAGTAAGTTTTTTTGTAATACATATTTTTTTATTTCTAGATTAAATATCAATTTACAAAAAATTTTAAATAATAATAAATAGGAATAAATTTATTCTTTAATTCGATTTAATTTTTTTTTTTTCAAAAAGACTGCAATTTAAAAAAAATATTCACGACTTTTTGTTGCTATATTTAATCGTTAAATACGTAACAAAATAAAACATGATGAATCCGTGATACATCTTTGCGAAACTTGAGCTAATTTTTTTCTTTTCTTTTTAATTATTTTCTCTTTGCACTACTTCATTTGTTTTCTATTGATTTCTGGACGGTTCGATATATTGATCGCGGCACAGCTGACTTCTTCGGTGTCAGACGAACAGCGGACACAATAATATTAATATTTCACATATGTCTAATTTAGAGTGTTGAAATAACGGATCAAGCATTTCACGAGGAGTGGTACCGATATAGAACATCCGTAAAACGCAAATTTATGTTAATGATAATGGCTAATAATTTAGATATTAAACTTTCAACGTTTGCAAAATACAATCTATCTTTACCCTCCTTCATGACGGTAAGTCTTAATGCATATTTTGTCATTAAAGCATTTATGATTTTATTGATATTTTAATATAACTGCATTGAACTTTTTGAATAATAATTTAGATTTTAAATCAATCATATTCAATCGCGCTTCTGCTGTTAAAAACAAATTAAAGAATAAGTGAGAGTATTTTATTGTGTATATATTACATATGGTAAGTGCTTCTTATTCTCGAAAAAAAATATGAAAGTTAGTAAGAATGTATCTATACAAATAAGTTATTTTTTAAAAAGTATAAAACGCTTCAATAAAGACGTTATTAAACAATATATAACACGTGCCATCCGCATTTCTTTTAACTTTGTAAATTTATAATTCGAATAATAAAACTGAGTGCAATATAAACCAGAAAATTTATTCCATTTAGCATGCATAAAATTTTGTTTGTAATATTTTTGGCAATTTATTATTAATAGAATCAAATATAAAAGTCAACTTACTTTACGAATACTAAAAATATATTTGTTCCTTGTTCCATGAACGCGTAAGACTGTTCTGAATTTCTTCGTAGTTTGCACGTTCCAAGCTACTTCATCCAAGATACTTACAGATATCGTAATTTTATATCAATAAGACATGCGTGAAATACAGTGACATGTGGCTTCTTTGGACATCGCAAGGCTGTAACGATCAATGACATTATAAGATAATGACCGCTAGAAGAAATAATGTTAACTACATAAATTCATTTTCCACATTCACCTTTGTGCTAAATAAAGTAAAACAAATATTTTCTTTGTTCTTGATATTCTTACTTATCAATTACACAGAAAGTTCAGATATTATTGTTCATAATTTATTTGCATATACATTCAAGAGACCGATTGTCCTATGATGATCATAAAATTTTCATTCAACAAATGAAAATTACAATAAAGAAAGTGTGCTTACACTTTGAATGTAGTGCTATACGAGAATGCATAATATATTTATGCAAGGCAGAAAAACCATAAAATAGATCATAAATTGTTCAAGACATACTAGTAACTTTGAAATACTGATGGAAATGCCTTGCAAGTTCTGAATGGACAGAGCATATGCATCGATAACAACATAAAATAAAGGTAAGTAAACAATGGATATTTTCTCTTATATATAATACGTGAGAAAAAAAGAGAGAGAGAAGAGAAAGACTGATCCATAAGACGAGTGACGACAATTTTAGCTAAATAATTTGCTTATTATTATTTTGGGAACATTAGCTTACAATTAACAAGAAGCATTAATAATTAAACTGAATTACGCTGAAAATAAGCTTATTCAAGATTTTAAATATTACAAGAAATACTAAAACATGCTACTAAAAATTTATTAATGGAATTACTAAAAATGATTTACCAAATTGACAAAAGTGTAAAATAAATCATAAATACACGAGTTTTTAGTGAATATTATTTTACGCGTAGTAAAAATATATAATGGTATCTTTTTATATTTAAAATGTATAGAATAATGAAAGAATAGAATGTATCAGTTAAAATCTTGACGTGGTCATGTCTTTTTTTTTGATAGAGCAACTTCTATAAGAGACTTCTTTATTACTAAACTCATGGACTTCGAGAGCATGAATTCGTTTAATATCTGGCTGAACCTCCTCTCAGGCAATCTATTACCGATAAATTCCGATAAATCTTCGTTTCCGATATATTGGAAAATATACTGCGTTTTTGTCTGGTCAGTGGAAATTATTACCACAGTTTTGTCAATTTTTGGTTGCTTCTTTATACCGATAGAGAAAATCGTCAACGATGTCTTAATCATCTTCATAATCACCGCAGAAGGAATGTTTATGGTTATGCGAATTTTGATGCAAGAAAAACTAGTGAAGGAATTGATACGAGCACTGAACAACTTTATGCGCATTAAGGATACAATGAAGGATAATATTATAGAAAGAAATTTGAAACCTATGAAGATTCCATTCAGATTTTATTTAGTAATGGGCGTACCTTCTGTTTTCGTATATTGTGGCATTCCATTTCTTTTGGCGTTTGAAAAAAGTTCTTTCTACTACGTAGACTTCAAGATGCCGGCCATATTTTTTAAGGAACCATTTTCTATTGGTCTTTTCATGGTAGGCAATACTATGGTATTAATCGCCAACATATATATTTTTATTAAGAAGGTCAGCGTAGACGTTTATATAACATACCTGATAGCGTTAATAACGGCACAGTATCAGTACATTGCTACAAAACTCGTACTGATATTTCAAGACGATAATCCGCAGAATAATTATGCCAGTTTGTCAAAGGATTTCGAGATAAATTCTGCAGAAAGAAAAATCAGAATCTTATGTCGGCAACATACTTCTGTCATACGGTAAATATATTTTGTACAATATGTTAGAATTTCTTAGACTTCTAATAAAATTACAAACTACTTTCACAAATTTTGATTTCAACATTTTTATAATGCAATTTCAATATAACACTTTTTCATGAGATATTATAAATACAATTTATGCGATTTGTTTCAGTATAACATTAATGTTAAGGAAATTAATGTCTTTAAGCTTTTCTTTGATTTACGTGAACAATGTTTTTCGATTTTGTTTCCTTGGTATTATGTTGACCAGAGTAAGTAATAATATTTCACATTAAATATTTTTAAAATCTTTTTTTTAACTGCTTTGATTCAATAAATGTGTAATGCTATATAATTGTCGCAAATTACTATCAATTGTAGTATAGCAGCGATGTGTCTTCGTGAAACTTTAGATATCCGTGTCTCTGGTTGAAGGATTCATGGTCTGTATGTATGGATCTGGGGCATTAGTGCAATTCTATATATTGTGTTCTTCCGTCCAAAAATTATTGGAAGCGGTAAGTTGTGACATATATTGTTTTTTATGTTTATATTCTCTTTCCATTTTGACCAAATGTAAAATTCGATTATTAATTGTTAAATTGTGAAAAAAATTTTTTTGTATTGCATAACAATTTTGCTAGCACGTTTTATAGTCAATAAAAATTATTAATAACTTTAATAATTATATAATATAATTTACTTAACTAAATTTTATATATTTAAAATTAAAAAATTTTATATTTTACATATAAAAAATTAATTGTAAATTTTGTAGATTGAGAATTGTATCATATTATGTACCTCGTTTTTGTGGTTGAGTTTAGAGCACGGAAATAACGGATAAAGCATTTCACGAAGATTGGAATCGATTTAAAGTATCCGTAAAACGTACATTTATGTTGATGATGATGGCTAGTAATAATTTAGAAATTAAACTTGCAGCATTTGAGAAATTTAGTTTGTCTTTGCCTTCGTTTATTACGGTAAGATTATTTATTTTTACTGTGTAATTAATAATTTATTGTTTTGACATCTGAAAATAATTTTTTGTAATTTTTAAATAATTTTCTAGGTTTTGAATCAAGCTTACTCTTTTGCCCTATTGATTTTAAGAGTAAATTGAAAATGATAAAAATGATGCTGCGTTTGTCTGAATTATAGCGACTATATTTATTAAAATATAATTATTATAAATATTGAAATTTTATAACTATTGTTGAACATTAAGTTTCACTGCTTTATCTCAATTATATATAGCATCATTGCGCACGTTGCGATAACAATTAACCGCAAGTATTCACGATGCGCGCAATTGCGAGCTTTGACAGCAGGGTGTTATAATTGATCCATGTGTATTAAAGTGCTTTTGTCGAGATCACGCGTCACGATTCTTTTTCTTTTTGCAACCGTTGTGCAATACAGTTCTCTCTGTGAGATATAGTTCTTTAAAAAATAGTCATTATATTTAAAATCTCAGTATTCATATTCTTTAAACCTGCTTTTGATCAAATAATTTTGCACGCTAGGCTCAACAAATATTAAAATCTTTGATATTAGAAATATGGAAAAAATTCTATTTTACCATAGTTTGTAATTGTTGGCTTACTAAAAGCGATAAACATTGAATTTACCGCTTAAATAAAAATATAAGTAATATAATATGTAGCTGTCGCTTGGTAAAAAGAAGCAAATAAAAATTCTAATTCTTTATAATGATAAATATTATAAAGTTCAACAGAGCAAATATGATTCTATTTCATATTTTAAATAGTAGCTGTAAGTGCAACAGACGGCAATATTGCAGAGAAGAAAATCAATAACTTTACCTGATTAAGTATATTAGAAGATAATGATGGATTGAGAAAAACCATAACGTAGGTGATAGTCGTTCCTCAGATAAATCTGTTTTAAAAAATTTTGTAATAAAATTATGTAAGCAAATTAAACTGGGTTAACTACAAATCGAAACTAAGCTTGCGTTAGACAGGTTTTACGATATCTACGGTTCTTATTGTTCTGTCGCAGTCGAGCAAGCGTTATAAGATAATTACCGCTTTACAGAGCTTGGCAATTAAAAGAAGGCTTCTAGTCGCATGCATCTGTACGATTAATAAACTAAATAAGATCGTACTGCAATGTTCATCTGTTATTACGATACCTGTGTGTGTGTGTGTGTGTGTGTGTGTGTGTATTTGATTCACTGTATGATATTCTCTGTATGATAAAATATGATATATTAATAATAGGTGAATACAGAAAGTAGCAATTGACGTAGTAATTAAAGGGAAATAATAAATGAAGATTGGCAAAGGGTTGAAAACAATTCTCAAAGCGAAATAGAAAAGCGATGCATATATGTTTCGATAGACAAGCGTATGCGAACGTGATAATATTGTAACATACAACAAACGACCTTTACATTATCTTGACGTACTAAATGTGCCTTACCGACAACCTAAATGTAAGTGAATCGTGTCAAAAAAAACTTTTAAAAGGATCTTTTTCAATCCTTTCGTGACGTTGCCATCGCAATACAAATAATTAAAATCACTTTTGTAATTAATCTATACATTTTTTATCATAGCAAGTCTGTTTAAATTTTATTTACAGTGACAAAGTAACTTTAGTTCTTGGGTGAAACATCTCAATGTCAAATTAATGACAACTAAAAATCATCGCTCGCAAGAAATGTGCGCATGCTTCGCGCGTGCTCAGCGCTAGTCAGTTTTGGAATTTTTGATCGCAAAAGATATAAAACCGCGATGCGGAAGATTCGCACGTTCTTTTCTCATTCTGGCTAATTACAAGTAATCGCGATCAAAGTACAATCTTTACAGTGCGCAAATAATTCCCGTTCGTTCTGTACTTGCGTGTATAGCTGTGCTCGCTCCAAATATTGCATCTTAGCAAGTGCCGAAATACTCTCGAACACAATCTATCGCGAAAAAAACCATGGTTCCAAAGATGGATTTTCAAAACGTGAACCCTTTAAACGTTCGCTTAAACATGATTTCGGGTAATTTATTACCCTTGACACCGGGTGATTCGCAATTTCCGATAATGCAGAAGCTATACAGCGCTTTCACTTGGCTGATCGAAGTGATTCAAACATCCGTATTAATTCCCGGGATGATCTTAGTCTCGCGAGAGAAAGCTCTGAACGACGGTCTGCTCACTTTGGTAGTCACGATAGAAGTATTCTTTATGTTTACGCGAATTTACGCGCGCAAAAAGCTGTTGAGTCAATTGATCCAGAAATTCAATGATATTCTGAGCGTTGCGGACGAGACAATGCAAAATATCGTGACAACCACCCTGAAACCTATGGAAGATCCGCTCAGATTTTACTGGTTGGCTGGCTGGCCGGCTGTCGGCGTGTGGTTTTGTATACCGTTCCTATTTATTTTCGAGAGAAGTTCCTTTTTTTACGAGGATTTTAAGATGCCGGCAGTTTTCTCTAAGCAGCCATTCTCGATGAATATCTTCCTGATGGGCAATGTTATTATACTGTGCGGTGAAATGTATATATTTGTAAAGAAAGTCGGACTGGATGTTTATATGATACATCTAATAATGCTGTTAACAGCGCAGTATCGATATATCGCTACGAGACTTGCGGTAATATTTCGAGATGGAAATCCGCAAAATGAATTTAATAAATCTTCTCGGAAACATTCCCCCGAAATAGATCACTGGGAGGAAAGAGAGATGAGAGCGGTATGTCGACATTACAATGCCGTCATTCAGTAAGTAATCAAGTAAACTATATTCACAAATTTGTTAAATAAAACGAAAAATTATTTGAAAAAGCTCTAATAATTCTATATAAAAATCTGATTCAAAACTCTGTATTTCTTTATTTTTTATTCAAAATTAAATTAACACATTATTGACCAGAGACGTGTTATTTTGACTTTTGTTGCCTAAATATTGATTGGTGACGAGATCATCAATCAATAATTGATGATTACTGTGTTTAAATCATTGTGCAAAGTTGTTAGAGCTTAAAATTGATAAAATTTTTATTATAGAATTCGTGATTGTGTTTATCCTTCACTTTTTGCCGTGGTTTGATTTTCTCATGGCCTTTTATGCATTATAAACAAAATTTTGTTTCTATTGAATTTTTTAAAGTGGTGCATCGCAAATCTAATCAGATTTTTTTAGACTATAAATATTATTTCTTCTAAGATATACTTTATAATTAGTACTTTACAATATATCTTATGCGTTTTATTTTAGTTTATCATCTTTGTTAAAACAATTGCTATCTTTGAACCTTAGTATGATTTATGTGAACAACGTGTTACGATTTTGTTTTATCGGTATCATGTTGAGCGCAGTGAGTAACAACTGCTAACATTAATTTTACATTTAATATTAACATTTAATATATAAGTTAATTATAAACAATTATATTGGTATTAAGTTAATACAATTAAATTTTAATTGTATTGATAATTTTATATTATTTTATGAACTATATATATATGTATAAGCGACGTTATTACATTGATATGTCTTCAGATACCGTCAATGACTTTTGTGGAAAGTTTGTTGGTCAGTACGTTCTCGTTTGGCTCAGTAGTGCAATTTTATATGTTGTGTTTTTGTGTCCAACAGTTATACGATGCGGTAAGTTTTATTGCAATATAGTCTTTACATTGTTTCCTTTTTCAAAATTAAGTTAACGTTATAAATAACTACCGTTCTATGTTAATATATAAATTTCAGCTTTTCTAGCTATCCACAGCAATTAAAAAAATAATTATTGAATAATGATTATACATATTTAATTTTTTAATATTAAATATCCGTGAATATAATTATTAGCAATTATAAATGAAAAAAGAGATAATCAAGAGACACGGTAGTGTCTCGCGCCAAGTTCACGCACAGCGCAAGACCGACCGTGTCTCTTTACGCGAGACTGAGAGCTGAGACGAGCCGAGATTATCGGATCTCAATTAATAATTACATGCAATTATTTATAATTATTCTATGTTTAATTTAGAGTACGAAAATGACGAATAAAGCATTTCAAGAAAAGTGGTATCAGTTTGGACCGTCTATGAAACGTACATTTATGATGATGATATTGGGAAATAACTTAGAATGCAAGCTTTCGGCGTGCGATAAATTTAATTTATCTTTACCCGCATTTATGGCAGTAAGAACATATGTATTCTCTATATTTTTATATTTTATATGCAACAATACTATTATTTTTACTAAATTTCACATCAGTTTTTCTAAATTTTTTGATCTTTTAGATATTGAATCAATCGTATTCGATTTGCCTTCTGCTTTTGAGAGTAAAGTGATCAACAATGAAGATTATGCGTGAACAATTTAAATATAGCAATTCTTTAAACTAAATTTTTGTTTTGCAATCTAAAGGTAACAATTAATAACTTTACGAACAAATAATAATTTATTTATGATATCTCTGAGATTATTGATTACATTAAACCAATAACACTATTAGTATAATTTGTAGATAACAGTTGCCCGCACCTTTAAATAAAATATAAAATAATATGCAACATAAATTATTATTAACATTAATCATTATTCCATGATTATTAAAACATAATAATTTCTTTTTGTCCTTGTTTTCCTGCAATGTTGAAGCATATTTATGACAAAAATAATGTGTGAAAGCTTACTCAATTGTGATGACTTATTCTAACAAACAAGAATGCAAGATCTTGTATTGTTCATAAATGACATTTTGTAGAATATAAGCAGCATATTTACTTCCGATTTGCAGATCAATCCATAATTTTGCCTTGATGAGACATGCATCAAGCAACGTCAAGCACTACAGCTATTTCGAATTTTACAACTCCGTGGCTGTCGACCAAATACCATAAGATAATTGTCGGTCTATAAAGTAGTGGAATTTTCAAAGAAAATTTTATCCTGAAAGATAAACATAATATTTAAATGAAAGAGTTTTCCGTTTTGTTTTAATGTTTCTACTGTCCGTCATTATTATTGTAATATTTATTTTATGAACACATTTTGTTCCTCTACGATAGCACACGACAGTCTTTTTGTGATATTATTTATTAAAAGAGACTGTTGATGCCTGTAATTATCCTGAATAATAATCAGGCAAGGTAAATATCAATAATTGTGCGCGGACATCATCGCTGTCAGTATGACAGCGCATTATGTATTGATAAAACTCTTAGAAGTTGTAGGAACTCAAAGAGAATAATAAAACGCTGAAGATGAAGTCATTTTTCACTTTTGTGAGAAACGTCTCGCATGTTCCTTGGAAGAAAACGAAAAAAGATATTTACAATATAGCATAATGACAAAACGGAGGTGTTAAAGTTTGTCAAATATAATTTTTCATCGCAGAAAGGTAACACAGAGAGTATGGATTTCCAAAACGTGAATCCTTTAAACGTTCGCTTAAACCTCATTTCGGGCAACTTGTTACCCTTGACATCAGATGATTCGGATTTTTCAATCACGTGGAAGCTATACGGCATCTGCACGTGGCTGATCGAAGTGATCCAAATAATTGTATTAATTCCTGGAATGGTCTTGGCCCCGTGGGAAAAGGTTTTGAGAGACGGTACTGTTACCAGCGTGCTCACAGTAGAAGTGTTTTTTATGATCACGCGAATTTACTCACGCAGAAAGCTGACGACTCAATTGATCCAAAGATTAAATGACATTTTGCGTGTTGCGGACAAAACCATGAAATGTATCGTAACGACGACTCTGAAACCTATGGAGTTTCCGCTCAAGTTTTATTGGATATCCGGTTGGTCGAGTGTCTTCGCATGGTCCTGTACACCGTTTCTGTTGATCCTCGAGAAGGCTTCTTTTTTATACGAGGACTACAGGATGCCAGTAGTCTTTTCCAAGCAGCCGTTTTCAACTGAGATCTTTCTGCTGGGCAACATCTTCATGCTGTTCGGTAACATGTATATTTTTATAAAGAAAGTCGGGCTGGATGTTTATATGATACATCTGGTGTTGTTGATAACGGCGCAGTATCGATATATTTCTGCGAGGCTTGTAGCGATATTTCAAGAGGAAAGTCTGCGAAACAAATTTAATGAATCTTCCCGGATATATCCTTCTGAAATAGATCGATCGGCGGAAAAAGAGATGAAAATGATATGTCAGCATTACAGAACTGTCATTCAGTAAGTAGTCAATTAAATTTATTAATAAATTTGTTAGTAAAATGAAAAACTGTTTGAAGAAAGTGCATTAATAGAATACTATAAAAACTTAAATTAAAATTCTGTATTTTATTGATCTCTTATGCAAAATCTTATTCATGCATATTTCTTGATGTAGGTATATTTATTGATGCTTATTTTTTATCATAATTTTATGCAATATTTTCGAGCTTTATGCATTAAAAAAGTGTGTTATACAAGCTATTCTATACATCCATATAATTGAATAAAGAATGTAGATGGCACTCTTATTTAGTGCGCATTTTAAAAAATACAACTAATAGTTTTGAAGATTATTAGAATATTAATGTATTTTTTGACATTTTTATGAATAAAGAAGCTTTGTTTTAGCTTATCGTTGACGCTAAAAAAATTGCTCTCTTTGAACTTTAGTTTGATCTATGTGAATAGTGTGTTTCGGTTTTGTTTTATTGGTATTATGGTGCGTACAGTAGCGGATACAGTGAGTAACATCTGATAACGTTACTCATCTGATAACGTTACTCATTTTATTATTTAGCATTTTATATATGAGAATTAATTTGAAATACTTATATCTGTAAATGTATATTGTTTTATCAATTATATTATATGAACGATATATTTCCATACTAATGTCTTTTAGACAGGGTCCACGACTTTTGTGGATGGTTTGTCGATCTTCATGTACGCATGCGGCTCAATAGTGCAATTCTACGTATTGTGCTTTTCCGTTCAACAACTATTAGACGCTGTAAATTTTATCGTAACGTAGTTTTTATATTTCTTTTCCTTTTTAAATCAGATATTTCATATATATATGTATATTTATATTAGAATTATTGCTCTGTGATATAACAAATTTATTTTTTAACATTGCATAATATTTTTAAAAAAATATATATATATAATTATAAGTTAAATTATATATTATTATTTATTATTGTTCTATGGTCAATTTAGAGTACAGAAATAACAAAAAAAGCATTTCATGAAAAATGGTATCACTATGGACCGTCTATAAGACGCACATTTATGATGATGATACTAGCTAATAATTTAGAATGCAAAGTTGCAGCGTGTGATAAATTTAATTTATCTCTGCCCTCATTTATGACAGTAAGAATATGTATACTTGTTAAATCTTTATATGTAATAATATTATAAAAATTATGTCTTTTTTTCCTAAATTTTCTGTCGGTTTTTTAGATTATGAATCAATCATATTCGATTTGCCTCTTGCTTTTAAGGAGTCGATAAACAATAATGAAGAACATGTTGATATGTTGATTACGATATTTCTTATGCTGTGTGATTTAGAGGTAACAAATTGCTTGGTAAGAAATTTGTGAATAAATAGCAATTTGTTTATAATATATATATAAAACTACAAAATAATTCAAATTATATTAAAATATATATTAATGTTAGTATAGTTTTTAAATTTCTGCACATTTAAGTAAAAAATAATGTACAATATATTAATTAGATTAATTTTTCTATTGTTATTAAAACATTCTTTTTTAATTGCGATATTTTGCAATTAGTTGCAGTACTAAAATATATTAATCAAATACTAAAAGATTTTAAAAAATTCAATTACTGATCAATTATACGAATAAAAAATGAAGAATCTTCTCTCGTCTATGTAATATCGTAGAAGAATGAGACATATTAATAAAATTTCTGAAGATGCTGTTTGGTAACACTTTGCATAATATTAATATAGTATAAATAGCGCATTTAACATATATACCGATTTAATTCCTTGCAGATTAATCAATATATTTCTACACGCAATAAAACACACATCAAACACTAAACTATTACATAGCATCAGATACTGTATTATATTTCAAATTTGACAACTCCGCGACTGTCGACACAACAGCATTTTTCCTTATATACCATTTTCTAGCCACAAAAGAATTTGATGTCGCAGCAGAATATGTTAGTAATTTATTACGGATACTGATTTGCTAAAAATAATTTTGCTTAATCTATCTTGCTAATATGTTAAGCAATCTGAAAAAAATAAATTATGACAGCAAAACTTTGTCACTATCACATATCTAGTATACAGTTAATTGTAATAAATAATTTTACGACGTACCCGTATTTCTGTATTTCCCAAAATCTAATAATGAAAATCACGTTTGTCAACAAGAGTATAGGATAAAACAATCCGAAATTACTTCACCTGAGAGATTCCTGTCGCCATGTGACATTGTATATGATAGCGATGTTGCTCTTCAGCCAGATAGACGCACATGGAGATTAGCCTGAATTTGCTCGCACCTGCGAGAACCTCTTCCGACGTCGGCTTCAATGAAAGGTCACTGCTTTCGTTGGTTATCCCGAATTACACTGAACTTAGAAAGGAACCAGGAATGGACCGATATGCCATCGCCGAGAGCGAATCAATTTAGTATCTTACCGTACGTCATGCAGTCGGTGCTGTTGAAGACTTTGGACGCCTTGCGCGATGTCAGACGCCGATCGCCGTATATCGTCACCGCCTGCACCTGCAGTAAGTACACTTGAGCTCTAGATACTTCAGCTCATAATATGTCTTATCCTGGGAAATACATACGGAAATCCTAATTAAAACAACCTAAATGTTGAATCAATGATATAAATTGTAACAGCAAACTTTTTAACATTTCGAACTAATAATCTGCAAGATTTACTTTAAATAAATCGAAATCGTTTAATATGAATTTTATGACTTAACTTGGAGCTTTGGATTTAAGATAGTTTTATAAGATGGCAATTAACTTCATTAATATTTTCCTGTAATTATTTAAAATAAAATTAGTACAATATTTTTATTAATTGTTGCGCATAAAACAATTATCAAAGGTTTTCTGAAGAAGTTGCCAATAATAAGAAAAACTTACTTTAAGAATTGTTTTGAGGTATAGAGTCGTTTGTTGGTCCATAAATAAGTCTACTCCAGCATACTTTGTAAAACGATATCGGCACGTCCGATGCCGGTTTAACCCACCGTAGATTAATACGCAACTTTCCACCGACGAGACGTGCATTAGACAGTGTCAAGTTCTGCGGTTTCTTTGGATTTCGCGGCTCTGGAATGACCGAGATGTTCTAAAATAATTGTTTCTTTGACAGCATACTAAATTAGTATTTAATGCATTTTATAATAGCATTTTATTTTTCACAAGTAATTTTCACGCACACCGATAGAAGAGTACTGAAGTCTGGAAAACAGTACGAGTGGCAATGGCATGAAAAATGAAGCTAAGTAGGCACATTTAGTATTAAAAGTAGCAATTTGCCTCAAGAGTCATTTATAACTAACACAACAACTTTGATCATTAAGGGTAATTGACTTAAACTTCCTTAGTTTATTCAAGAAGAAAATAAATACGGGAAAAACTTTGTAAAACATTAATTGTAAAAAAAATAATCAATACTCTCAAATCAGACTACAATGATATACGCCTGACGGGTATAAAACCAAAGCTTCGAATCGGACGCGCGTTTAGTTTTAAATGTACAGTAGCGTAGAGTAGGACATAAAAGTCAAAAGTATTAAACGTTCATAAAGAAGCATCCGAACCATCACTATATAATACGAATAACTTTCAAAGAAACAGTAGTCGAGAGCGATGGACTTCCAAAACGTGCATCTCTTAAATGATCTAATAAACAAACTCTCGGGCAATTTGTTTCCGATCACAAGCAATTCGTCATTCTCGATTGGCTGGAAGATATACAGCGCTTGTGTGTGGCTTATCTTTGGATGTGCGAAGATCTTGGAGTTCTGCGGCTTTATCATGGCGTCGAAAGATACGCTTTTAAGTGATGGAATGATCACCATCACATACATCTTAGAAGTGTTATTCTTACTCATGCAACTTAATGCGCGCAGAAGTTACATTGTACGATTTATCCGAATGATGAACGATATCCTCCGCCTTCAGGACGAAACTATGAAGCGCGTCATGGCGAAAAACATGAAGCTGATGCGATTTCCGATCGAGATGTTTTGCATACTCGGTTTAGGGTCCGCGGTGGCGTGGCACCTCGTTCAAATCGTGTCAGTTACGCGGAAAAAGAATTCCTTCTGTTATGAGGATTTCAGGACGCCGGCTGCATTCTCGCCGCAGCCAATGTCGCTCAGAAATTATTTATTGGGAAGTGTATTTGTGTTGATCTCCACCATATTTTCTATTGGAAAGAAGATCGGCGTATACACTTACATGATGCATCTAATAATGTTAATGACGACGCAATATCAGTACCTCACGGTTAAACTCCAAAAATTATTTCAAGAGAAAAAACCGCAAGATGACCACGGATCGACAAGGGAAAGACACGGGCAAAAAACAAATCAATGGTCGGAGAAAGAAATGAGAAAATTGTGTCGGTATCACACTATTATAATCCAGTAAGTATCTTATTAAACGGTAAACGTTAGATTCTGATACCGTGTTACAAACAATACTTGCAAAACCTAATAAAAAGATAATTACACTAATAATTATTATAATAAAACAGTAATAAGAAAGTATTGATTATAGTATAATTACGAAATGTTATTAACTATATTGAAATACATATAATATATTAACCTGTGTGTTTCATATCTTATAACATTTTACGTTTCATATCATGCATATTTCTTTGTTTCAGAATGTCTGTTTTACTAAAAGAAATTCTGTCGTCTAATATCGTTTTAATGTATCTAACTAATGTCTTTCGATTCTGTTTTCTCGGTGTTTTAATGGCTGTGAGTAAAAACTGTTAAAATTAACTTTTCTTTATAATATCACATTAAACTCCATATTAAAACTTATATTATCATTAAATATAATATAATATAATATAATATATAATATATATGTAAAGTTTTTGTAATGTTTTAGTCATCCAGGTCTTTAGTTGAGGAGATTGTGGTTATCATGCACACACTTTGTTCGATAAGCGAATTTTTGATGATGTGCATTTGCGTGCAATTTTTATTAGATGCGGTAAGTTTGACGATGTCAAAATACACAACATAACAGAAATATACAAACGGCAATAAAAATATTTTTATCTCTCACTTAACAATGATTAAGTTTCGAAATTGGTAGCATTCTAATAGTTTAAAATAATCTTTTCTCAGAATAAAATTATATTTCTCTTTTAGGTCTATTATATTTTTAAACGTGTAGATATATTTCTACATACTTCTACAATAGACATATATTTCGCACAAAAGCGATAAAGTAGTGCATTCCGATGAAAAGTTAAAATATATTTTTTCTTAATAACGTCTACAACTAAAGATATATCTAAAAAATAAATAATACAATGCATAAAGTCATAAATCATACATCCCGATTGATCAATGATAACCGCGTGAATGTGACATTTTCAATTGAATTTTTACTTACTTATATGTTAGAGGGAACATTTAATCCGGTTTTGCATGATCTGTTGATGCGTGACCCGTTCATCATGTTAATTGTCGTTTCTTTTTTATCAACTAAACCTGTTTGGCGCAATCGCGACATACGTGTAGCTGGAAAATTTATGTGCTAATGTATTAACAATTTATTTAAAGTGCGTTTAAAATAATAATTGACACTATATTTTATTTATGCTGGTAACATCGTTAAAATTAATTACAGTACAATTATCTTTTTTTTTATCACATCGCATAATCGTTTTCGCGACCTTTTGATGGTGACTTTTGATATTTCACGTTAGCCATTAGCCTTCACTTCGAGAAATTTAATTTGCGTACGAATCAACATTAAACAATACTTACTGTGTACAATTTGCACAAACGATTAACACAACTCTAGAACTTTTGACTGCGGGTTAATGGTCCGAAATTAACAAACAAACAGTCTTCAAGCACAAACATACTCATCAAGAAATTTCCTTTGATGCAACGTTACATGTCGACCTTGCGTGAGACGAGTCATTCCACAAGTTCGGATAATCAACCATAATAACTAGTCTTCCACAACTTTTTTAAATTATTGTTTTCTTGTCTCAATTTAGAGTAAAGAAATAACGGACAAAGCGTTTCACGAAGATTGGTATTGGTTCAAGCCGTCGGTGAAACGTTCATTTCTATTGCTGACAATGGCCAACAAATTAGAATGTAAACTTACAAAGTTCACAAATTACAATTTGACATTGCCTGCGTTCACATTGGTAAGATTTCGTCTGTATTAGTCGTAACGTTATCGTATGTATGCATTACAATTTTCTTTCAACATAACGAATAATCTTTCAGGTATTGAATCATGCATATTCATTCACCATTTTGTTTCTAAAAATAAAAAATGAAAAATAAAAATTTCCAGAAATGACAACTGGAAGAATGTACCTATTGGATTTATCATCAATAAAATTGAATAATTGATTTTGTAAGTTCTAATATCGTTGCAATTCTTTTTGTAGAAGAAAAAAATTAACTGCAAATAACAAAGTGGTTAACATTTTAGATTAGATAAATGTATAAATTATTAGCACAATACTTAAAAATGTATCATTAAAACAAATGTGAGAAAAATATAATCACAATATACAATAAATTTTTGTTATGTATGTATAACAAATCTTGCATCTCCATTATGGATTATTCATGATTGTTGACTCAATAAGTGTTTATCAGTAAAATGTGTTGGTTTACTTTAAACTACTTATTTCCGTTTAATACTATCCTCTTATTTGAATTTGTTTTAATTTTTCTTTATGGTTGCACTCACCTTTTGCTTTAAAGGATTTGGATGATTGCGAATCCATAGCCGCGATCCATTGCCTATAACGATATACAATTTTCGATCATCTTGTACGCCAAGTTTTCTTCATAATTATTTTTTATTTTTTGCAGACGTCAATTTTTTAATAATTTAATAATGTATTTATTGTATGAAATAGAAAACAATGTTCTATTTTTGTAGTATAAAAAAGACAGTAAAGATTTCTCTTATTTTGCAAGATAAAAATCATAACTGATAAAATTATAAACAACTTTTTATTGTCACTAAAAGGAGAATGTTAAAAATAGTTCGATTTTGGCCTATGGTGTGGAACCAAAACTACAAATAGTTTTTTATAGATTTTATACCGTAGAATCATGTGGTAAAGTCCGTTTTCTTCGAGACAGCGGGGAAAGTACGGAAAAATTTTAAAAAAGACCATGAAAAATGCAATTTCCCGTATAAAAACACATGTACTTATGGATGTACTTGAGTGAACACAAGTGTGTCCAAGCTTTTTTCTTGTGGGTGTGTGTGTGTGTGGTTGTGTGTGTGTGTGTGTGTTCTGATAAAAGTATTTGATTTTCTAATCAAATGTTTCTTTACCGTCGGCATTAGCGTTACCCGATGTGCATCACGGAGAGGTTGCCTGAGCGGTTTTTGCACATTATTTGGCTCTGAAAAGAGCCGATTAAAAGTAATAATATCACATGTAGATATTCAGTCAGACTCAGTAACTTTATTATCATCTGAATCGGATGACCAATCATTTTCAAAAATGGATGAAAAATTGAACGTTCGTAGCCGTATTGTGTTTAAATATTTCGTCTTTTTTCAATATTTCCATACTTTTCCCGCTGTCTAGAGAAAAACGAACTTTACCACGTGATTCTACGGTATAAAATCTATAAGAAACCATTTGTAGTTTTGGTTCCACACCATGGGCTAAAATCGATCTATCTTTAACATCCTCCTTATAATATCTAATTGTCAATATGACAGCACTGTGAGAGCGATCATTGACGTTATACGGTCAGAGAATAGCCGCTCCATGATTCCCTTGCTTCAGTATAAACTCTATGCAATTAGACACGCGACTCCTGCAACAGAAATTATAATATCTAATTTTTAATATAGCAGTGCTGTCAGAGCGATCATTGACGTCGTACGGTCAGAGAATAGCCGCCGAATGATTTCCTTGCTTCAGTATAAACTCCATGCAATTATTATATCTGTGCCAGAGACACACAGCTCCTCCAACAGAAATTATAATATCTAATTCTCAATATAGCAGCGCTGTCAGAGCGATCATTCAAAATTAGATATTATAATTTCTGTTGCACGAGGTCTCTCTGGCATAGATATAATAATTGTATGAAGTTTATACTAAAGCAAGGGAATAATTGGGCGGCTATTCTCTGACCGTACGACGTCAATAATCGCACTGACAGCGCTGCTATATTGACAATTAGATATTATAATTTCTGTTGCAAGAGATGCGTCTGTGTGACAGAGATATAATAATTGCATGGAGTTTATACTGAAGGAAGGGAATCATTGGGCGGCTATTCTCTGACCGTACAACGTCAATGATCGCTCTCACAGCGCTGCCATATTGACAATTAGATATTATAAGAAGGATGTTAAAGATGGATCGATTTTAACCCATGGTGTGGAACCAAAACTACAAATGGTTCCTTATAGATTTTATACCGTAGAATCACGTGGTAAAGTTCGTTTTTCTCTAGACAGCGGGAAAAGTACGGAAATATTGAAAAAAAGACGAAATATTTAAACACAATACAGCTACCAACGTTCAGTTTTTCATCCATTTTTGAGAATGATTGGTCATGCAATTCAGATGATAATAAAGTTACTGAGTTTGACTAAATATCTACATGTGATATTATTACTTTTAATCGGCTCTTTTCAGAGCCAAATAATGTGCAAAAACCGCTCAGGCAACCTCTCCGTGATGCACATCGGGTAACGCTAATACCGACGGTAAAGAAACATTTAATTAGAAAATCAAATACTTTTATCAGAACACACACACACACACACAACCACACACACACACGCACACACACACACACCCACAAGAAAAAAGCTTGGACACACTTGTGTTCACTCAAGTACATCTATAAGTACATGTGTTTTTATACGGAAAATTGCATTTTTCATGATCTTTTTTTCAATTTTTCCGTACTTTCCCCGCTGTCTAGAAGAAAACGGACTTTACCACGTGATTCTACGGTATAAAATCTATAAGAAACCATTTGTAGTTTTGGTTCCACACCATGGGCCAAATCGACCTATTTTTAACATCCTTCTTTATACTTTTCATTTCAGTAAAGAAAACACAAAACCAATTAAAATTTGGCTAAATACGACAGAAAAAGTGTAAAATGTAGTTATTAGCAGACTTTGTGTACATGTTATTAAGAAAAAGCACCTAAGAAAAATTTTACAAATCTCGGTTAACAATAATAATATATTATATAACTTACTTGAAATTTATTACATCGTTTCTCTTCAGTGATGGTTGTTCTTAATTACAATGTAACTGTTAAGCACATATGATAATGAATGTCAAATAAAACAATTAAATTTTTATAAAAATCATTTTATAATGCATAAAAATATAAATCAGTTTAAAACCTATTATACATGTTTATATATATAATTAAGTAGTAAAATAATAAATATTATATTATTTTTGCACTGTGTGGGAGCAACATGAAACATGGAACAGGCACAAGGCAGTAAAAACTGAATTTTATAAAAAAAAATAACTTATATAAAATAAATCTACGTATATTAATTTTATATACACTATTCCACAAGAAATAGAACACATTTTTCAGAGACAAAAAAATTGAGCAATTCTTAAATCTCCAAAACTCGTAACTCGTAAAAAATTATTCTAAACAAAAAATAAAAAATCATATTAAAGTTTATAGTTTCACGCGTTTTAAGCCGTTTATGGAAAGTTTGTAATCTTTACATTTTTGGGCACAAAAAAAGAACATATTGTTTTGTTCTTGCAATACGTTCAGTATTCTGCAGCTTGATACAAAAATTTTTTTTGCAAAAGTTATGATAAATGTCGAAAACTACAATATTTTACCTAAAAAATGCGTTCTTTTTTTATTTTGTTATGGTTTTTTTAGCCCGCTTCTCAACTCAACTTTGAAGGTAAAACCTTTATTTTTTACACAGATGCTGCTGCCGATAGTAAACGCTATTTTTTACAGAATTTAGGGTTAGTTTTAAAACCGTATAACTTTCAAATAAAAAAATCGTAACAAAATTTACAAAAATGCGTTTTGTAGGTAAAATGTTTTTGACACATTTTATAAATTTTGCAAGAAATATTTTTTATGGACAGTAAAACAATGTATTCATTCTTTGGACTTGAAAGTATAAAGATGAAAAATTTTTAGAGAACGGTCTGAAACACGTGAAAGTACAAGTTTCAAGCTTTAAAATGCTTTTTTAACTTTTTGTCTACGACGATTCTTCACTATGTTACAGCGGTTTGAAAATTGCTAAATTTTAAGCGTTTGAACGTCTCGACGCGGTGGAGCAATGTGACCGACTGGCTGAGTGCGCGCCATTAATACGCACGATGCCGTATTAATGGCGCGTCATATATACATATTGGCGCGCACTGAGCCGTTCTGCACTGCTCTGCTCGGTCGAGACGGTCAGACGCTTAAAATTTAGCAATTTTCAAACCGTTATAACTCAGCGAAAAATCGTCGTATATAAAAAATTAAAAAAACATTTTAAAGCTTGAAACTTGTACTTTTACACGATTTAGACCGTTCTTGAAAATTTTTTATATTTACTTTTCTAAGTTTCAAGAAAGAACACATTGTTTTGTTGTCAATCAAAAAATTTTTCACAAAATTTATGACATGTTTCAAATACTACAACATGTTATCTATAAAACGCGTTTTTTTTATTTTGCTACGATTTTTTCAGCCGAGCATTTGTCATAAATTTTATGAAAAATTTTTGTACCCAGCTGCAGAATGTTGAACGTACGTAATTTTAAGAATAAAACAACACATTCCTTTGTCATAAAAAAAATGTAAACATGAAAAATTTTTTTAAAAAGTCTAAAGCACATGAAAGTACAAACTTCAAGTTTGAAATGCTTTTTAATTTTTTGTAATGTGTTTTTACCGAATTTTAACGATTTGAAAATCACTCGATTTTAAGTGTCTGAAAAATGTTCCATATATTCTGTGAAATAGTCTATTATCAAAACTAAAAAACGAGTCATATTTTTATCTTATTAATAAATAAACTACAAATTATTAAGAGAAAATAATATATCGGAAAATAATGTTATTTACTGTATTTGTAAAAAACGAATATAGTTAAAAAAAAAAGTTGTTACTCACTCACAACTATAATTGTCAACATTGTTTATGGCCTTTATCCAGTTTAGTTTCTTTTTTTATTTTATAAATAAATAATAAATTTACTTGAAAAGAATACTTGATGCTCAATCAATAAACGTTAAAAATGAGATACCAAAGTTTAATGGAATCGATCTTTTAAGCTAAATTCAACTCGATATAATTTCTTTTCAATTCTTAATTATATGAAATTCTGGAATTAATTAAACGTTGAAATTTAACATTTTATCTTATATCTAAAAATATAAAAAAATTACGTATAATAAAAACATTTATGTATCAGAGATCTAATATTATGAGCTTCGGTTTTTACTATAAAAAAGCTTAAATATTTAAAGTACTTAAAAATTTGCGATAATTTTGAACTTTCTTCAATAAATAATTTTAAACCTTAACGTCTTGACATCAAAAACTTTTTGCAACATCCGTATTATGAAATAAAATGAGTGTTCCTATTCGGAGCAATTAAACTGTAAGTTACTACGGTAATATTTATAAAAATTATAGAATTTAATTAAAATTCATAAGTTATGAATATTACCATCACAACTTATAAAACTCGTTTATCAATTTTTCGTTTTCAATTTTTTCTTTCGCTGCAAGCAATTCATATTACATATATATCTGAAAAATGTCTTTTAGATCTGGACGATTTTGCCTTACATCGCGCTGTCTTTCGCCGCGAATGTTTCCGTCGCTTCTGATCATCCAGACACCCGGTCGCAAAGAACTCTATACTAGTCCCATGGCCGTTATTACCGCCGTTCTTCAGTATATTCTTTATATTTGCGCTATATGTGCAGTCGTTTTGAAGTTGTTGCAGATCATAGTGCGTTGTCTGAAATTAAATTTCTTTTATGACAACTTGGAAAAAATATATGCAATCCATGTAATAATAATAATTAGCAAAATTTTGGCACAATGACTTTAATAGCAGTTGATAAATAATGAGAGCTATAGAAAAAAAAAGAATTTTATTTTATTTTACATAACATGGACATAAAAATTTTTAAAAAGGCATGTAAAGTCGATACTCGCATTTATGGCTTTTTTTTCTTACATCGAGCAGTTGTCATAGCGAAAGTTATATACTTTATACATACAGTTCATATTTTAAGAAGGTACTGCAGAATTTTTTTTCATTACTTTTGTGTTTCATAGAAAATGTTCAGTGTCTTCTTAGATAGAGTTATAATATATATTTCTTTGTAATCGAAAGAATACATAGCGCGTGCTACACACGTGCTTGTCTGTATCTGGTATAATAAAAAAATAAGTCAAAATTTAAAATCTTGTCCACACAACAGCATTTTTCCTCATATATCTCTTATAGAAAAATGAATTTGCTGTCAAAGCGGAATATGTTAATATTTTATTACGGATACCAATTTCATTTGCTGAAAATAATTTCGCTTAATCTATTTTGCTGATATGCTAAGTAATCTGAAATAGTAATTGATAATTTTACAAAGTAAATTTACAGTCTGCATTTCTGTGTTGCTCGTTACATTTCTTAAAATTAATAACGGCAATCATGTTAGCTAGCAAGAGTAAAATGAAAAACAAGAGAAAAAACATCTTACTGGAAATCTTACTTTACCTGAACCACTTTCCAGTCGGCGGGTTTTCGTCGACGTTCCAAGCTTTTCTCGCGCGTGCAAGATTCCTGTCGCCATGTGACATTGTACATGGTAGCGTCATTGCTCGTCGGCCAGACCAGACGCACGTCGACATCCCCGCAGTGGCAGTTCATGCGACGTACATGGAGATTGGCCTCGGTTCGCTCGCACCTGCGAGAACGTCTCCCGACGTCGGCTTCAATGAAAGGTCACTGCTTTCGTTGGTTATCCCGAATTACACTGAACTTAGAAGGGAAACCAGGGATGGACTGGCGTGCCATCGCCGAGAGCGAAACAATTTAGTATCTTACCGTACGCCATGTAGTCGGTGCTGTTGAAGACTTTGGACGCCTTGCGCGATGTCAGACGCCGACCGCCGTATATCGCCACCGCCTGCACCTGCAGGAAGTACTGGCACTTGAGCTCTAGATTCTTCAGCTCATAACATGTCTTATCCTGGGAAATACATATGGAAATTCTAATTAAAACAACCTAAATGTTGAATCAAAATTGTAACAGCAAACTTTTTAACATTTCGAACTAATAATCTGCAAGATTTACTTTAAATAAATCGAAATCGTTTAATGCGAATTTTATGACGACTTGGAGCATTGGATTTAAGATAATTGTACAAGATGACAATTAACTTCATTAATATTTTCCTGTAATTATTTAAAATAAAATTAGTCCAATATTTTTATTAATTGTTGCGCATAAAACAATTGTCAGAAATTTGTGGAAGAATTTACCAGTGATAAGAAAAACTTACTTTAAAAATTGTTTTGTGGTATACGAGAATGGAGTCGTTTGTTGGCCCATGAATAAGTCTACTCCAGAATACTTTGTAAAACGATATCGGCACGTCCGATGCCGGTTTAACCCACCGTAGATTAATACGCAGCTTTCCACCGACGAGACGTGCGTTAGACAGTGTCAAGTTCTGCGGTTCCTTTGGATTTCGCGGCTCTGGAACGACCGATGAGATGTTCTAAAATAATCGTTTTCTTTGACAGCATACTAAATTAGCACTTAATTTAACAAAAAGAGTTTAATGTGTATATTATAGTAAATAAATTAAAAAATACAATTCATGATTATCACACGATTTCATCATCTTCAGTAATTTAAATCCTCATAATTCATTGCCATAAGTTTTTGTATAACAGCATATAACAAATATAACACTCAGGAAAAGTAAGAAAAATCGAAAAATCCCCAAAAAAGTCGATAGTATTTTTCATGAGTAATTTGCACGCCGAAAGAAAAGTACTGAAGTTTGGAAAATAGTATGAACAACGGCATGAAAAATGAAACTAAGCAAGCATATTTAGTATTAAAAATAACAATTTGTCTCAAGAACCAATTATATCTAACACAACAACTTTAATCATTAAGAATAATTAACTTAAACTTTCTTAGTATGTTCAAAAAGAAAATAAACGCTGAAAAAACTCTGTAAAACATTAATTGTAAAAAAAATAGCGTAGAGTGGCACACAAAAATCAAAAGCATTAAACGGTTATCGCATAAAGAACCATCCGAACCATCATTGTACGATACGTTCGAATACGAATAACATTCAAAGAAACAGTAGTCGAGAGCGATGGACTTCCAAAACGTGCATCTCTTAAATGATCTAATAAACAAACTCTCGGGCAATTTGTTTCCGATCACAAGCAATTCGTCATTCTCGATTGGCTGGAAGATATACAGCGCTCGTGTGTGGCTTATCTTTGGATGTGCGAAGATCTTGGAGTTCTGCGGCTTTATCATGGCGTTATATCTCGGTGTTATATTGGCTGTGAGTAAAAACCGTTAAAATAAACTTCTTTATATAACATAACATTAAACTGCATATTAAAACTTAATTATAACAAATATCATCATTAAATATAACATATACGTAAAGTTTTCGTAATGTTTTAGTCATTCAAGTCTTTAGCTGATGAAATTGTGGTTGTGCACACATTTTGTTCGATAAACGAATTTTTGATGATGTGCGTGCAAGTTTGCGTGCAAGTTTTATTAGATGCGGTAAGTTTTACACTCATACTTTTTCACAGATTAAAATTATATTTCTCTTTTATGTATATTATTTTTCTAAATGTATGCCATACTTCTACAATAGACGTACATTTCGCACAAGAGCGATAAAGCAGAACAGTGCATTTCGATGAAAATTTAGAATATGTTTTTTCTTGATAATGTCTACAACTACAGATATATCTAAAAAATAAATAATACAATGCATAAAGTAATAAAACATAGATCCCGACTGATCAATAATGATAATCACGTGAATGTGAGATTTTCAACTGAATTTTTATTCACTTATATGTTAGAGAGAACGTTTAATCCGGTTTCGCATGATCTGTTGATGCGTGACCCGTTCGTCATATTAATTGTCGTTTCTTTTTTATCAACTAAACCTGTTTGGCGCAATCGCGACATACGTACAGCTGGAAAATTTATGTGCTAATGTATTAACAATTTATTTAAAATGCGTTTAAAATAATAATTGACATTATATTTTATTTATGCTGGTTACATCGCTAAAATTAATTAGAGTATAATTATCTTTTTTTTTTTTATTAAATCGCATAATCGTTTTCACGACCTTTTGATGGCGACTATTGATATTGGTTTTCACGTTAGTCATTGGCCTTCACTTCAAGAAGTTTAATTTGCGTGCGAAAGATCAACATTAAGCAATACTTACCGTATACAATTTGCGCTAATGATTAACACAACTCTGGAACTTTTGACTGCGGGTTAATGGTCCGAATTCCGAAATTAACAAACAAACAGTCTTCAAGCACGAACATACTCATCAAGAAATTTCCTTTGATGCAACGTTACACATGTCGACCTTGCGTGAGACGAGTCATTCCACAAGTTCGGATAATCAACCATAATAACTAGTCTTCCACAATTTTCTTAAATTATTGTTTTCTTGTCTCAATTTAGAGTAAAGAAATAACGGACATAGCGTTTCGAAGATTGTTATTGGTTTAAGCTGTCGGTGAAACGTTTATTTCTATTGCTGATAATAGCTAATAAATTAGAATGTAAACTTACAAAGTTCACAAATTACAATCTGACATTGCCTACGTTCACATTGGTAAGATTTCGTCTGTATCAGTCATAACGTTATCGCGTCTGTTTGCTTTATAATTTTTTTTTAACATAACAAATAATCTTTCAGATATTAAATCAGGCATATTCATTCACCATTTTGTTCTTAAAAATAAAAAATAAAAAATAAAAATTCTCAGAAATGGCAATTGAGGAAAAATGTATCGGATGTATCATCAATAAAATTGAAATTATTAAATTTGTGAGTTCTAATATTGTTACAATTCTTCTTTGTAAAAAAAAAGTTAACTGCAAATAATAACAGTGGTTAACATTATGGATTAGATAATATATAAAAATGTATAAATATTATTAGTACAATATATAAAAATCTAACATTGAAACAAATATGGAGAAAATAGAAATAATTACAATATGTAATAAATTTGGAAGTAAACACATCTTGTATCTTCCATCACAGATTAAACATGATTGTTTATTGATATTATTAAAGTGTGTAGGTTTTTTTTAAACAATCTATCTCCGTTCAACTATCCTCTTATTTGGTTTTGTTTCAATTTTCTCTTTTATGGATGCACTCACCTTTTGTTTTAAAGGGCCTAGATGGTTGCGAATAGCCACGCGATCCATTGCCGTTGACAGCCGCCACTCGGAACTGATACCAGTGTCCCGTCTTCAGCCGGCCTCGAAGACTTGCGTGCGGTTTTGTCGATACGTGACACACGGTCCAGGAACTTAGTCTGGATTCTAGGTATCTAGGGCCAATCAGGTGACGCTCTTCCACCAAATATCGGACATCGTTTTCATTGTTGGCGGACACGTTATTGGCGGCCGGCCTGCCATTACGCCACGTGAGCAACACCAGATTTCTCTTTTGCTGTTGTATCTGTAGATTCTCTGGTATAGCTGGCAAATCTAATTTAAAATGAAAGTTATTTCAGGAATCAAATAAGATCTACGAAGTCATTTTTCATCTAGAAATTTTTTAAACGACTTGCAGTTTATCTTTGCTTGGCAAAAATAGTGAGGTAAATTATCATGTATTTTTCAATTTTAATAATTTAAATTAGAAATAAATAACGTGTATATAAGATTTTACTATCTGTTTATATCTTTGAAAAGTTTAGTTCCTAAAACAATTCTTTATTTTTGCAATTTTTATCGACAATTGAAAATTTGTTGGTACGATAAGGTGCATATAATACATATAGGATAAATAAAAAACATACGTAACTTATACGAAACTTACCGTTTCGACTGTCCAAACCGATGGGATGCATGCATGTAATGCCGCAATCGTGGGCGCAACATTTCGCCAAATCCGGACAACGGGAGTCGTCGATGCAGGCGACCAAGCAAGCGGCTTCAAAGGGCGTCATAGAAGTCCTCTCGGGACAATAGCCAGGTTTCGTATAATTCGACATCAAGCAGTTTTCTATACACTAACATGATAATAAAAAATAAGAAAAGATCTATGAAATACATTTTATTCTAAATATCTCTTGATACTTTGACATCTTCGAAAAATGTACTATTATATACGACTTAAATGAGTAACTTATAAAATACGCAAAACATATTAGTATATCATGGTTAAAATGTAAATGAATAATATTATTTAAACAAGAAACGTACTAAAAAAAGATATTTTTTATGTAAAAAAATCCTTGCTGAAAACACAAAATATAATTGCTACTTCAAAACCAACATTCAGATATCAATATTGTTTAATAATCTAAGATTTGATTAATTAATATGTACAATCTGTTATAAATAGATATATAGAATCAGCAACTTTCAAACAAAATTGCACACATACTCTTATTATTCTGACTATTCCACGACATCCGGAAATCATCAAAATCTGACAAACACTTACTATTTAATCAGTGCTTGTCTAATTAGGCAGCGTTCATCTTGGAATACGCATAGCGGCGATAAGTGGTCCAGTTTTTGCGCCATACAGCATGACGACATTTTCATCATCATTTTTATTACCGGAAGCGTAATTCAAGATGCGGACGCAAAGCGCAATAACGCGGTGCAAAAATATTTACGACACGAAAAAATATTTACGATATCTATTTGAGTTTTTATCCTAGTAATGTTTTAACACGACTAAGTGTAATGTATATTGAATTAAGAATCGTCAAAATATCTTTATATCTATTTCACAGAAAGATCAATATTAATTTAAAAAAGTCAATCATCTATATAAAATCTAAAACAGCCAGCAAATTTGGTTTGAAAATTTAAATATCTTAAGAAAAAAAATATGCAGTATTTTTTGTACAATTCCGTTAAAAAATTGTTTATTTTTATATTTATTTAAATTAATTTTAAAAATTTTGTCAGAAATGATTATTAGCAAAGTTGATAAAAATTTAACTCCAATTTTCGTTGACTTATACTACTATTTGCAACAGCTCATGTAAAATCACAACTCTTTCAGCGGCGCGGGTTTATCAAGGTCGATGCAACTTCATCGCATTCCGTCTTAATCGAAGTGCTCTCGATCTGCTCAAAATGACCGCGATCCGATCCAATCCCGTCGGTACTGAAGAAGATACGGCCAATCGCGGGAAAAGAAAAGAAAAATAAATATACGACAAATCGCCGCCGATATATCGAGCTCTGCCGCGAATGGGAGCTTCCCTGCCATTTTCGTGGAAGCCAGTTCTCACTACATAGTTACGAAACTGCCGATCCTCGATTCCGTTCTGACGCGAAATGCGAGTCCAGGTCCTTTAAACGAGCCCCGAGGCGGATTCCCGATCATCAGGACGAAGATGGTCCTCCATATATATTTCAACTTAATGCGCGTTCGAGTTCGCGCGTGTTTTTATCCCGTCATCATTTTCGTACAATGTAGACGCGAGAAAGCCGGCTCGATGAAATCGATCGAAAAACACAAGATATGAGATAAGCGGCGATGGCGTCGTAAAATATATGATTATAAGCGTAGGTAATACGACGTTCGCAAAGTACGAGTCGTTAAGCTTAATAGCGACTCAAGGCAAATTTGCAAAGTCTTGTTAAAATAAGTGTATCGTATCAAGTTTCAAAATCGACTTTAATAGGATCCAAATAAACGTGTCGTATGCATAAAAAAAAGAATAGAAAAAAATCGTCGTTTATAAAACGCAAAACGTTTTGCTTTGTTTCGTAAATCTATGCCGGATGTTAATCAGTTTACAGTCTGCCGTTCTGCAGTGACACGTGCGTGCGACTAAATGGGTCATAAAGAATCTCTTTAGAAGAAAACACTGCGAACGAATGCACTTGTTGAGGAAGCGTCTCATATTTATGATGTCGTTTGCTAATTTAAAGAATTTTTAATTTTTAATAAATTCTAATAAAATTTTAAATTCCAATAAATCTAATAAATTTAAATTTTCTTACTATTTTTTATTACATTTTCATTTATCTTTGTAGCAAACGATAAAGAATTGAGTAAAGAGCGTGCAAAAGGTTTTTTTTCGAAAATATCTTGTTTTTCAAATACTAATTTTATAAAGCATAATTCACGCGAGTGAAAAATAGCGTAAGTAGCGTGCTGTGTAAATCATTAAATGTGCGATGTAGTCAATTAACATGACATGGTTGGTCGTTAGCAGCTTGTACTTTAAGGATTATACATCCGATATTTGAATAAGCGTGACGAAGGGAAACGTGTATCGAATATTAACATGACTACCGTCAGGTACACGCAGCACGTAAAACTTGCAAGACGATCTGCGTTATATCTCTCAGAGATAATTTAGCAATTATGACTGGAATGAACTTCAATGTATCAGAACTTCCTTAATGTCATATAATAAGGGATTTTCGCAAAGAGAAGAAATGCAAGCGTTATGTGCAAAAGAAGGAATAAGAAAGCTGTATACTGAAAAAATATACCACGTAAACTATACAAAAGATTTCGCAAATATTAAAAACCATAAAAATAGAGAATAAAAGAAGACGTTTACTTCACTTCCTTTTTTTCTGTATTTTGTACATTTCATGCGCGTTCGGAAAATTAATGCTAATTGATGTTAATATTAGGGGTCTCCAGTCACGAAAGAAGAGATCGACGACCTGTTGAGGCGGGGGCAAATTCCGCGCGGAGTCCCCAATAAGATTCGCGAAGAGGCAAACCGCGAGCTTTTCCCGGAGAAGATCCAAGAGCATTTCTTCGCTTTGATGATGGAAGCGTGTACTTGCCGTTGTACTGTCGCGACCACGACTGTATATCATTCGAACGGTCGGATAAACTGGTTCGCTTACTTATTGGCCTACTTTTTACGGTGAGAAGCGAATACATCGAGCGCGGATCTGGACGGCATCGTCGGCGGTGATCGTTCGGGGCCGTTGACCAGCTAATAAAGTTCACCGCCAGGATAGCATCGCCGGTAGCGCCGCGATCAACATTGTTGGCGAAATCATACGTATCATGTTACTCCTCTATTATATTTGCCCATTTTCTCGAAAACGCCTTCGGGCACCGGCCGAGTTAACTTCCGAGGATCCACACCTACCATTCCGCAAAATGGAACTGCGCATTTGGAAAGAACTATTCCTGAGATGGTTTGTGCAGTCTGATGAAAAGAAGGTGGTTCAATAATCCTACATATAAATAAAATTAGAAACGCTAAGGGATTAAACATATTTAGAGTCGAAGATACTTATTTGTCACGAAAAATCAATTATTCAATTATTGAATCAATTTATCCTGAGAATTTTTGTATAAAAAATATAAAATATGTAAAGTAAAATTATACAAAATCTCTGCACATAAAAAAAAAGTTAAATAAAACTTTTGTCTTTTCTTATCATCATATGTAAATATATGTAGAACACTACAGATGTAGCGCATCATCCGTCATCATGTCAATTACCAAACGATGTACTAGAGTAAACCAAGCTAAACGAGAACCTCTAATCATAGTGTAATATCTCAGATAATTTGTAGTTGTAGTAAGTAGAATCACGTACGGGACATATACTTTGTCGATGTGTATGCAACGTAGTATCTTTCTCTCGATTACACTTTTCGTAAAAATGCAGAAGCACGCCATAGTGATCGGTGGGCTGGCTTCCGCGTTCGTTGTCAGTTAGTTAAGATTTGTTGCGAGTCAAACAAGAATATTATACGTCTCAATGCAGTGTCTCCGGAGCTTATTACTATTTATCGTCGAGTTGCTGTTAAAAACTGTATAATTTATAGACAGGAAAACTTAAACATAAATTTAAATAAATTTTAAAAAATTATATGATCAAAATTGCACTATAATTTTAGAATTTTCTCCTCATATATTATCGAGTAATCCTTTCAGCAGAATATCGTCACATCCATAATCGAACACATCCATAATTTATAACTGATTATCCTCCCCCTGGAATTTTTTGTAAAATTATATTATAAATAAAAGGTGTGTAGATTTTTTAAATATGTTGTATAAAATCGCAAGTATAATATGTAGAGCATGTGAAATTATAGGTGCGCAAATGCTTTGGAGAGAAAGTTATCATACAAATCTCTGTAATGCTGCAAAATGGTTTAATATAAAGGTTCTATTTATCATTAGCTGGAATTCCATTCTCCGCAGCGAAGTGGCGCCTCTATGACTCGGCGATATCAGATAATACAAGGAGCAATGGAAAAGAAGTACTATTATGCAGACCGCTATGCGATAAATATAGTCGGAATTGTTACGAAATAGGACATTGGTTATTATGAGAATTATTACATTACATTCCACCGTAATCATAAATCAATTACATGGAATAATTAACATTATCCTGTAACTTGATCACCTTTCATTAACCGCGTTAATGCTATTAAAAATATATTAATTTGTTTTGTTTCATTATTTACTCGTTCAAGAATAGAAACATGCCAAAAGATTTTAATTAAAGACTTAATGACCTTAATGACGAATTAATGGTAGGTCTTCGAATTATTTCTTAAATTACAAATATATGTGGCTAAATCGCGTCTGATTTCACTGTAGTTCAAACAATTTAAATCTATTAATTATTTTTCCAAACAATTTAAAGACAAAAAGTATTTCTTTGAAATAAATTTCTAAATTTCTCAGTTTTTATTATTATTAATTGTATGCACATATTTGTATAATATAAGTATTGTTTTTAAAAACCATTTCTGGGTGCTTTAATCTGAATTAAATTAGTTGGATAGAGATAAAGAAACAAAACTCGTTCAACGAAATTCTTGAAGAACTTCCTATGATATTTATAATAATGTAGAAATAAGTTCCAAGAAGTTCAGACCTTAAATACAGACTGCAGTCTGAAAAGGTATCCCGCCACGATTTTCTCTGGCGTGTTTCTTTCGACACGCATCAGAAGAAATAAGTGGACGATCGACAGTATTTCGCAGTACTCGCATCGCGAATGATAATCGCCCTCAGAACGTTACAGGGTGAAAAGAGCAAACCGATTCGCTGAGCAAAGAGCGCGATCTGATGAAGCGTCGTCACGGTCGAAGAATTAACTCTGCCGATGCGCGCCGAGATCGTCGAATGATATCCGAAGCGATCGTGAGGATCAAAGTGTATAAGAACGCTAATGAAGTTCACCGGATCTCGCTCTTCTCTCTGCCTCCCTTCCGCATCGCCCCCTCCGTCGATCGCGCCGAAGGCGCGCGGAGACCGATCTGTTCCAGTTGAGAGAGGCTGCCTCGCGAAGTCCGATGCGCGCTGCCGTTGTGAAGTGATCGCGAAGATTAGGGTATGGCAGGAGACTAATGTAGTCCGCCGCGAAGATCGGCGATAGTGTCGATCGGCAATACTGAAAAATCATGCACGCCGATCGTTGCTCCCTTTCCCCCTCCACCTCCCCCGCAGCACCGGTCATTTTTCTCTCTCTCTCCTTCTCTCTCTCTCCTTTACGCGATCTCTCTCGGTGGGCTATCCCAATTAAAGACTTCGCGAAGATCGCGGTTTGAAGTATTCATTAATATCGGTATGGCCGAGGCGGCCTTCGATCGAAGTTCATCGCGAGAATTGGCTGGCCGCCGATCGCCGTCGTTAAGAAAATTATATTGCCCATTGGCGATTCGCCAGGCATCGTTTTCTTCTCGCTTCGCCTTGCACTTCGCGCTTCTTTTCACTTCCTTTTTCTTTCACCGCGACGACACCGACAATTAACAATCGAAAGAGCACCGCGTATGATCGATACAGCGTGGAACTCGCGTCCGATCAGCGAACCCGGTGAGTTCTCGGTGAAGTTGTCGGCGATGCAACGATCTCACTAACGAAGTCGATTGTTATAACGGCAGAGGTTTATCTTTTTCAATCAACATACCAAAGGATGCCGCCGCTTTGATACCGGGGAATTCATGCTTGCTCATTAAATGTTGCTTCCAAAATGAAGTTTGGCATTGACAGTTATGCTAATGAAGTTAATTGTAATAACAGAGAGCGTACATTTTTTCTCTTCGGTTTTTTCTATTTTCGTAATACGTGCAAACGAAGTTATTAACCGAATTCTGTTCTGACAATTCCACTAACCTTTGATTTATGATAAAAGAAAACAAGTGCTAATTGTTTCTTTTTAGCATCCTCTTATCTTTTTCTGTTAATTAATATCCGATAAGGCGCCGCGCGATTAGCATCATGGAATTCGCATTTGCCGAGCAAGTGTTCTCAGGGAAGTTCGGCGGCTGCGATTACGTCAGTTAATTACTGCGCGCTATTAAGAAAATGTAGAAGATTGGGTAACGGATTCCGTAAAAATAAAATTACAACGCAATAAATTCCAGTGGAACGTGTGCAAAATATTCTCACTGGAATGACGATGACTTCGAAAATATACTTTACGCACTGATCGAGAAAAAATCATTTAATAATGAATCAAAACGTCGTGAAAACGACAAGCTACACGAATCAAGGAACAGAACTACTTCCAAATTAAGGATATAAATCTTCAATCGACGTGGTTTAGTAGTCAATGATATAAATTTATCTTTGATATGAAATTGTATTTGCAACAAAGATATAATGGACTTATCTCATTTCCGCGCTCAATCTTTTTAATTATCGTACGCTTCGCTAATTCATTCAACATTTACAAGTCATCTAAAGACTTGTTTAGCTCCATCTCAGTAGCAAGCTAGGAAGTCCGCTTCCATCATCGCCGGCGGGAAACGCGAAGGAATTAATTTCGCCGTCACGAGCGTCGGAAGACCGAGAAGTCAGAAAGAAGAAGTTTCGTTCGCCACCGTGCAGCCGCGAAGTTTCCGAATAGCGCGGCGTCGCGCGAGAACGCGCGCGGCGCAGTCGAATGCCACCGGGAAGATTGATCGTCGGTGCTTCGGGATAAGAACCTGTTTTCGATAATGTCGGAAGATACGTTTCTAGTGCGCCATAGGCGCGCATCCGGACTTAGTGTGTTGCCGCGCGCAATCCTTTTATAGGCCATTACTTCGGGATTTTATTGCTAACCGTCAGTCAGAGCTCGGGGGCTATCTCTTCGTCATTTCTCCTCGTCCACCCGGCCTGCTGTCCATCGACGGCTCCCCCGGAATCATTTCGGGGCCATTTGCCTGTAATGACGTGTGTATACACGCCGGCAAAAAAAATATCAGCAATAAAGCGCCCGCCGGTAAGTTACTGGTAAGTTAATGAATGTCGTTGCTTGTAGTTCGTCGTTATAGTTATGGCGTTATCGTCCGGACGACGCCAATTAAAATGTTCAACCCTGTGCGATGCCTCGCATCGCGCCAGCGTACTTTATTTTCACTTGTTAACTTGCTCACTTGTTACGTGAACGGGATAGTCTTGAAGTGAGATGCTGTCGCTGACACCGTGATGTATGATTCAAGTTCGTATTCGGTGATATTTACGAATCAAAACACCATTACTGCGTCATTTGTTGCGATAAAGCAATAAATAAACACGTTCTTGGTATTCGCTTTTAATTCCTATTCTATCAGGGAGAAAGATAGAATACAGGGTAATCAGTGAAATCGTGAGTACTCCTCGATTTTTTAAGAGAAATATCCGTTTTTTTAGGAACGACAGATCTTTCTTCGAATACATGACCCAAATACAGTATTATCGATTCGTTGTCGACCATCGAATTAGCATCGAAACCGAGTCAAGTCCCACGGCCGGTGGCACAACAGCGTATCGCATAAATCGTCGAGCGTGGCGATGATTCAAGCGGACACGGACTCGGGAACACGCTCGAACTCGCATAACTAACTACAGCGAACAAGGACCCGCAAAACCCGGACAAGCCAGGATGAATCATTGACGACCACGTTGTCTGTGAGAGAGGCGACAAAGCGTTGCGAGAACCAGTTTATTTAGCGACGCTATCGAGTGTCGAATCGGCCATCGAAATTAAAATCGATCTCCACTCGGGCCGCGGCGTACAATGTAGCGCGTTGATTAATCGAACCGATTATTCCGGATGATTACGACGCTCAGGTCGATGCCATAAATGCCAACAACGATCGGACTTGCCGAGAATAATGGTTGTTTGTGCGGTGTTAATATTCTATCCTGAGACGTTAATCCTTTCAGACTCAATTATCAATCTTTGCAATGTTCTTTTATGTTATCTTATATTATCTTAAATAACGGTTTTCGAAACATCGAAAAACACTTTACGTGTTGATAATTTTATATAAAAAACTTTTAATGCACAGTTGCTAATATATTTTTCAATAAAAGCGTATCTTTTGATAGAATCGAAGCAGCGTTGGTAAGATAAGATTCTAAAAATATTTATGATATAAATAATTATAAAAGTGAGAAAGTATACTTGACGTGTAAAATGACACGTCTTAAGATAGTATGATACTATTATTAAAAAATAGTATTATTATATTGCCTGTAATAATATTACAGATATTATAAACGGTGATAACGTAATCTCGTTTACAATGCGTCCTCGCATCCTACGTACCTCATCAGGATGATTCTCCCCACATCGGGCATCGCACCTGGCCACTCTAATGGAGTCGTATTCCTCGACGTATCGCGTCCACGATGCCAAACATCCTGGTAGCAGCAACCACCACGGCCACCATTCTGCACGGACATCGTATTATTAACTCTTCCGCAGCCAGCGGCCAATGAACATATTTTTTCTTCTTTTATAATATATAAATGCTTAAATTCAGAATCAGAATATTCCAAGTTAATATTCCAAGTTATAATTCAATTTGTTTGCCATCATTTACGTGTGCAATTTTTAAGTAGAATAAAAAGTACGCAAAACACGCTGTGCAATATTTGATTCTTTCATTGCAAAATTTGTAATATTAAATTAAATTGCTTATTCTACTTACTTTAGACTGATGTACATTAATGCTTTGATTAATGAAAAAATTATAAAAGAGTAAGCGTCAAAAATGTATTTTAAAATCGTCAAAGGCTTGATAAAACGCTAGTAGAAATTTTAATATATGTAGACATATTTGAACATTTTGGTTTATCTATATTTGGTTTATATATTAAATTTTATATTTAACGCGGTACTTGTTATCTTTTGCACGAAAAGATGTATGACACACGGTACTTTTTTGTAACAGAAACACAGATTTAAAAAATATGGTACTTAACTCTCTTGTACCTTCCATCCTTTATTATTTCATTATCAGTGTTTCTCCTGCGCATGCAATGTTTGTTTATCGACGGCACTTTGCACTTTCCTCATAAGTTCGCATTTCTGTTTGCTATCGGCACTACCTCCCACGACGGTAATTCTGTGGAAGCGCGATATGTATGCATGCCGTTAGTATACTGCCCGCTGCGTTAGCTTCGAACGCCATTTAGCTCATCTTAGGAATTTGTTCTTTTTACTCGCGGCGCCCACCAAGCGGACGAGCCGCTCGCTCCCGGAGATTGTTTCTCCATTTTAGCAAAAGTACGAGTTTCATGCGAGGCCGCGCACTCGCTCGATCGTGATCGTGATCGCGATCATGGGATATGCGCTACCTGCGTCGATCCCACGCGCCTCTTCGGAATTCCGATTGGGGCTTGTCGACAAGAAGGCAGCAGGCAATCGCGTCTGCTTTTTCGCCGTTCACGTAAATGCGGTGACCAGAACGACACCAAGAAGAAGTAAAGACTGAGAATTATGAGAATGAAATAAAAGAGATGCACAAATATTGGCTAATCATTATCGATCATGTTCATGCGAATAAACGAAAAATAAGATAAGAAATAAGGGTTGTTATTGAACTTTTGCGTAAATATTCTTAAGTAAGTGCAAACATTTCGTAAAGATAAGTTTTATTCAACAAAGTAGTAAACAATATTTTTACTCATTAAATTAATTACTAAATTAATAATTAATCTATTTGCAATATCGTTATTGATTATTACAATACTATTTTTTTTAAATTAGAATTTATATACTTTGTCATAATTACAAATTCTATCATAGCTTTCTTTATATTTGCCATTATAATATAATTTTATCTTTAATTTTGTTTGCTTATATTTTATCTTATTTAATTTAATCAATTGTTTCATTTTCTCAGTATACTCATAATTTTCGTCAGTGAATATTAATGCAAGACTGACCCAACTTGTTGCGACATCAGTTGTCAAAGAGAACCGCGTTTGTCGGTGACTTCAATGCTTCCTTTCAAATATAAGGACGTGCTTGTCCTGAGAGTTTGGTCAAGAAAGAATCGCCAATTACCAGAGACGATCAAATGTCACAATGACATGACAATCCCCCGATTTTTGCTTGCTGTCAATTTGCGCGTTTAATACCCAACTTTGGTCGTTTAATTAACGCGAATCTCTTAAACGCTTATACTTTATTTTAACACGAATATGCTTTCGCTGATCACAATCATTTCTTGTTGAACTATTGATCTTATTTGATGAAAAAATTTATTCTTGTAATTTATTATTTATTGATTGCAAAAGTTAGGATCGTTAACTAAAGAGTTAATTTACTAATATTAACTTTTCGCTATAACAAAAAAAAATAATAAACAGTTTTTAGATCATTTTTATAATCAGTTTAATCGTATCGTCCTTGTTTTATATGGATCTCAGTGCATTCTATACACCTCCTTAATATAACAAGTCCTTTAAATCTAACCGTGCTTTTATATATATATACAATATTTCTCGCCTCTAATCTCTAATAATAATTTCTTTCAAGATTTTTCTCATTCATTATATCTTATCTTAATGTCTTTCACGAAGAAATTCTCTTGCATACTTCCGGATGTACGTATCCGATATCTGCGAAATCTATTAACCTCGCCACTTTGCAAACGTTAAACATTAGTATAATGAACAAATTGCTAATAATATTAATAGTGTAATGTTCTTTTTCGCATATTTAAATTATTTTCTAATATTTTGTAAAAAAGATGATTTTTATCAAATTAAGTACAGATTCTCTAAGATTTTTCCAAACCATATGTATAGAAAATTAGGCGTAAGAACTGACCGCGATTGTTAGTGTAAAAGTAATAAAATTTCTTAATTTACTGGTTATGAATTATTGGTCAACATAGAACATTATTATTATCATTACTAATTGACACTAAAAAATTATTTATCTTTAATAAATTTTATATTTTTTTCAGAGAAAGCAGAAAATTTTTTGACGTATTTCAAAACAATTTGATGGTTTTATTGTTTCTCTGATGAATGATGACAGGTTTAATCGTCAATCTTGCTTCAATCGTTAATCTTCGATTTTCTACTATAAAAGAATACTCCAACTGTATACTACTGGGAACCTTTGAGTTAAAACGGTACTTCGACAAGAAGTTCTGGAGTTCATAAGTGGTTCTTGTCAATCCACTTTAGCTTTTTCATGCAAATACGCGAAATGTCTTACTTCATTTCTGGTGTATTCTGGTTATTTTTAGATCTTTTCTTTCAATTATATACATAATATATATGCGTTACATATATATTATATATATAATTATATATAATATTAATATAACTAATATTACAACTTAAAAATGATTTGTTTCTCAATATTACAGTAAACAGAAAGTTAATTTTAAACTAGTAAAGATATATATCATTTAAATTGAAATTGAAATTCTGAGACACGCTGTATGAGGATATTTATATTATTATATTAATTACAGTTACTTGGACCAAAACAATAAAACTGGTTATTAACATTTTAGCTCGTGTAAACTTTTTTTAAGATGAAATGATAAAGATATAGGTCAAATTAATAATAAGTATGTCAATGCCAATATCATTAAATAACATTAACAAAGTGTAAAAAGCAATTAGGAATTGTATTTTTATTCTGTCAACTGTTAATTTGATTGCAAATATGTGTCACATTTATTACTCTCTTTACAACCCTTTCTTCATACGTACTTTTAAAAGTGACTGGTGGTAACTGCTGCCTCCGTCTTCTTTTCGCGGCTACAGCTGACGTCGAGTTGCCGGCGTGCGGCATTGGATCACCGATGATCTTCCGGAAGCAGGATGCTCAACCTATTTCACAACTTTTTCTTTCGGACGAGCGCCAAGAATTTCTCTTCGGATTTCTCTTCGAACGTTGAAAGGATCAGCGCGCGTTTCTTATCACCGAACAATGCGTCGTTGTCCTGCTTAGAGGTGATGCGGCCGGTGGTGCATGGCGCCAACTCGCTCGCTCGCTCGCTAGCTGATAACGCACGCGTGCTGTGATATCTATCTCCCGGATCCTGATTCTCTCGACTGACTACAAATCGCCGTGCAAGACTAAACCCGTGAGACCGAACCGAAGCGTTCGAACTGGGATCGGACTTACTTTCCTGTGCAAGCCGATCCTCCTCCTCTTCTGCTCTCGCCCTCCTGGCGCACTCTTCTCCTACTCTACACACCGGGGCCCACACCACTTGGTTTCCACCACTCTCCACCGCCACCGCCACCCATCGCAATGACCGAATCATTAACTTCAGGAAGGGTCGCTTGGCTCGCGCGCAACCGAGGAACACACGCGCGGGGAGCGGGTTCGCCGAATCCGACCACGAGAGAGCTTCCTTCCTATTTCTTCTTTTCTTCCTTTTACGCGTCCCTGTCGCGTTTCGGGACACGGTAGCGCTCTTTGACCTCTCCTTTCAAGGGAAGAGGGTTCTTTCTTTAATCTCTAATCGTGCTCGTTTCTTTCCATACACGTTGTCCGTGAACGCGTTGACCGTGACTCTGTGACCTTTTTTCCTTTTTAAATATTTATTATTCCACAAAGATATTTCACAAGATTTTTTATTTAATCAATTATTTTAATGTAAAAGAACAGCACAAAGTAAGTTTTATGTATTATAAATGTTAAAAAATATATTCATAAAACCGAATTGTATTTCAATTATCGTAAATATTTATAAAAATTGTGGTCAATATTAAGCAGTTTTATACCTGTAAAAATAAAATCGATATTTTTATATTGTTCGTGTATATGTGCGAGAATATATGTACACATTAATCCATAACTCGATCGCCATTTAACGTCTTACGTGACCTGTACTAGAAACATTCTTCAAAAATGAACGCCTCTCGCGTAACTATGCTGGTCAAAACAACTCTTGGCGTGAGATGTTTTTTCTTACAAAGGATAACCATTCACACAGGCGTGAGAAAGTTGCCAATCAACTACCCTCAGCAAACTGTTATAATTTTAATCGACAAAGAAATGTGATGTGTAATTATCAGTAATTTTTTAATTTTTGTTTTTTAAAGCATATCAAATTATAAAGACAAATTTCTTCCAATTAAGAAAGACATTTTTATATATTATAATAAAAAATTGAAGAATTTACAATATATTTGTAACTTGAGAAATCAGTCGATGTCGTAATTTAATCATATGTAATCATCAATCGAGCGTGATTTTTATTTAACATTTTAACGTTTTCTCATAATTAAAATGTGATTAAAAGTATTTCATTTAATATAATTTAAAAAAATATACGTAAAATTTAATAACAAAAAAAAATTCTATGAAAAAAGAAAAATGTTAAAGTGTGCATCTCATTTTTGTCCAATGAACTGCATCGAGATGCGCGTGGAAATAAAAGAAGTCGCCGTGCGAAAGAAGGATCTGTGTAGAAGTCCTCTCTCGGCGGGTCCTTCTACCTCGACTTTGGGTTCCCGGCGCGGCAGCAAGCGAATCCTCTCTCGATGCACACACAGGTTACCGGCAACCTGTGTGGCATGAGAACGGGGCCCGCTCTCTTCCCACATAATAAACGACTTCGAAGAACGGTAGTGGCGTTGACCTGAATCTATTAGGACCTTCGGTTTGGCGGTATTATAACTGCCCGTGAATCAATCCCTTACTTAGCAACATTCACCGACCACACGAAAGCCCGGCTCGTTATTACCCGGTTAGAAGCCGGCACTTTTCGTGGCAAGAACTTCTCGTAATTCTCTCATATTGGTAGCGATGCTGACGATATCTCAATACACCGTTGCAACACCCGTACCGATACTGTCTATAAAGTGATAGTTTTACACGGAAAAAAAGAACTTTGCTGACATAATAAATTTTACGCTGTTATAACAAAACACGTTAATTATTATATAGATAGCAAAAAAATCTGCAAGTTATATCGTTATTATAAAAAATTGATTTTTACTTTGCCATCAGAATTTGTACTGGCAACAACAGTTTTGCTGTATTAGCAGAATACATTTGTTAGAAATAATATGTCTTTATGAACAAATGTACTCAGCAAAATTCATCTATTCTATCAGCAAAATAGATTTTGTTGATATCGAAAATAATTTATTGGTATAGAAAATATTTAATAAGTATCTATTGTACACGAAAAAAAGAATTTTGCAATTGCAACGAAATCGTCGTTACTATTGCTATTGCAATTTGAAAAATTAGTTATAATAGCAAAGTTTTGTCGCTATCACATGCAATAGCAATGATGATTTCGCTGCGATAGTAAAATTCTTTTCTTCTATACAATAGATATTTATTAAGTATTTTCTATATCAATAAATTATCTTCGATATTAGTTTTAAATAAAGAGATTCAGATAAAAAATGTAATTTTATGGATTATAAATATAACATACCTGGTACACTTTTATAAAGCGTGTATTTTATAAGTACTTGCTTATATTTAAGCAATTTACTTATTTAAGCGAGTTTTTTTACATATTGATTTAATTTCTTGGGAAAAGTAGTAGCACATCGAAAGTTTCTTTTTATTTAATGAACCTATAAAAATATTTATTTTTTTCATTAAATTATTTTTACAAATAAATTTGTTAAGGATTCATAGTTTTTATGTATCAGAAAAAATTAGCAACGCCATGATACTAAAATTTACACAAAATAAATATTCCATAATTACTCGTAATTACTTTTGGCTTTTTTGTAATCGCATCACTTTACACGATCCTTAAGGCATCAATTCTCATTTCTTACAATTTCTCGTCTCGGTATGTCCCATAGAAATTTCTTCCAGTATCTTCAACGTCTGCAAGAAAATACGTAATATTTTACAATCAATCCTGTTCTTTCTTTTAAAATTGACGACATAAAAAGCTATAGATAAAAATAGATACATTTTATTTTATACTTTCTCTTTTTTTATCACTTAAATATTATGATAAAAATAGTAAAAACACTATGACTGCTAATAAAAATAGCGCAAATGAGAAAATGGAGAGATTTTAACGCGAGAAAATTCTATATCATGATCGCTACAGTTTGACTGTCTGGTGAGAAACTTTGTTTTATTTTTTAAGTAACCGGACGTGATATATTACCTCGTTTTTTCCCTTGTTGTACCACGCGACATTGGTCTGGATTCTATTAATAACCTGCTTGATCGCAGCATCGTACTTCTCGCTCTTGCCTTTCAATCGTCGTAGCTAAAAAAGAAAAAAAGAAAGAGAGCGCGATCGTTACATAATAATTTGACATTTTTTACACTCGCGAGGTATGCATATTCGTGTTCGGAGAACGATATCGTTCCCTTTTCGATCCTCGTTAAGTTTCACCACTCGCGCAATTTTCTTACCCATTCTACATCCTTTGCTTGATGAATGCGTCTCGTGAAGGCACGCAATGTATCCGTCAGGGTAACATTCGCGCTGAAAATATTATAATAAAGATAGATCGCAGTGAGGATCAGAATAGTCGGCAGAATTGCTTGTAAAAAATATTTGACAAATATTGATAAAAAATATTTAAAAATTTTTGATTGTTTTTTAGCAGCAAAAGTTTGAAACGGAGTAAACTATAAACTTTATTTAACTTACTAAAAACTATCTTCTTTTCTTCCATTATGAAACTTGTCCCAATGTAGAGTTAAAAATTCTATGGCAACGTCAAATGCGTGTGGATTTGACGCGACGGATTTTAAAATCTCTTCTGCATGTTCAGGTATTATATTTTGTGAAAATATTATAAACAGATCTCTAAAAAAGCATTTATT